ATCGCGGGCACCCCCCGACAAACACTCGCGCAGTAACCACAAAAGCAAGGAAGGAAGGGGGGCGGGGGGGGGGGGGTTCATTGTTTGCTGACCTGCTCGATGATTTCATCTGCGCGCCTGACCAGTGAGATGGACACTGCTCGCTCGACCCCGGTTCGCCGGTGCGTCGATAGGGTGAATCGGACAGTGTCTCCCACCCGCGGAGTGGACGTGCGTGGAGCCAGCGTGTCCTTGGCAGTGTACTCGGCTTGACGCTCGGCAGAGCCGTCGGCCGGCGTAAAGCGAACGCGGCCTGGCTCTGAGGCTCGCCCCGGACATGCCTCAATAACGCCTTCCATTGGGGTTTCGCTCGCGCTTTCCAGCTTGACGGTCCCCCGAGGAAGCAAAGTCACATACAGCGCCACAAGGGGCTTGTCGGGCCGTTTGGTCTGGTGCACATTATACTCAAATTCGTCGCCGACACGGGGTTTGTAGTCAGCAGAGACCTCGTGAGAGCGGAGAACACATGGGTCTTCGCGCTGCAAGCTCGAGAGCCAGCCAGTGTTGCCGTCAACCCACGTCAGGACGCCTTGTTCGCGCGCCGAGTGCTGGCGGGAAGACTCGATCAACGTCATGTTGGTAGCGCGCGTCTTGCCTGTTCGCTTGTTGGCCACCAAGGAAAACTCCACAACATCACCGGCGCGGATCGGGGTCGCTGACTGACTGCAAGCAGCATCGCTGAACGAAATGCTGGTTCCAATTGTGGGGAGCTCCACGTCCAGTGTCGGCTGAGGAGGTGAAACAACAGGGCGCGGTTGGAACGGATCTTTCAATTGACGCAAACAGCCAAGCGCGGCCGCGCCTTTGGAATCTGTCCGTCCCTCGCTGATCGAGGATGAGGATGACCCGGAGGCAGAATCGGACGAGTCCTCGCGACGTTGCTGCAAGCGACTGCTGGAAATCGCAGACTCAATCACGAGGCCTTGCAGGCGCTCCTCGGAGAGCGACTCGAGCACGATCGTCCCTCGGGGCAGCAAGCGGATGGCGCTCGCAACCAGCTGACCGGATCGCTTGATGGGAATGAAATCCACTTCGTCGGAGGGTTTCAGCTCGCCGACGCTCGGGTCGACCGCTCGAAAATGGAAGAAAATGTCCTCGTCCATGTCTGCGCGCTCAATAAAGCCATAGTTTGTCTTGATGGCCCGGACGTGGCCCTGGACTCGCGGGTCTTCTCCGCGCTCCACGAGACGAATGTTGACAGCCCTGCGTCGTGGATTGGCCCGCGATTTCGGCACCAGATTGAACTCGACCGTGTCGCCGACTGACAGACCTGCCGATGATGCAACTACGTCTGCGAGACTGAATGCAGCGACCATCCGGCGCGATGCACCAGAACCAGAACCAGAACCAGAACCAGAACCAGAACCAGAACCAGACGCACTTGATACTCCGTCGACGGCGTCCGCCTCGCTTGCATTTTCGTCGTCCCCACCAGTCGATTGACCTGCAGTAGAGGTGGAAGCAGCATCGGATCCAGCGCTCGTGGCGGTCTGGCTCACTTGGAAGCCCAGTTTGCCATTGTACAGATCCAGACCCAGCCATTCGCTTGCGCCGCCGCGCTGCTGGTTGGACTGCGCCTTGCCTCCTGCTGTGGCTTGCGCCGCGTGCGGCTGTTGGAAGGGGAGACGCTCAACGACGCCGCGAACGAGCTCGTTTGGCGTACTTCCGTCGACGACCCGCGCGTTGTCCTCTGCGACCAGAGCGGCAGGGCGCCGTTGCAGTGCAGGCTCCGACGACGACGACGATGATGATGTTTCTGATCCTGATCCTGATCCTGATCCTGATCCTGATCCTGATCCTGATCCTGATCCTGATGAGGAAGTGGCAATGGTCGTGCTGCTGGCTTCTTGTGCGGCTGGCTGGCGAACAGCATCGTCTGGGCTGTGCGGCCGGACGTGCGCCGCTCCAACGAACGAGCCACCACCATCAGTGCTACTTGTGCTGCCTGTGCTGCTTGCGTCGGAGGCAAGTGCAAAGTGGACAATGTCGACGAGCACTGCGTCGCCTGGTCGAAGCGCATGAGGATGGACGCCAACGCACTCGCTATACGGAAAGTACAGTAGCTGCCCACCATCATGATGCTGTCCATGATGCTGTCCATGATGCTGCTGTGAGTGCTGCTGATTGTGCTGCTGCTGCTGCTGCTGCTGTGAGACCTCAACGCAGCACCCGCTCGTCTCGTACAGCTCGACAATCGTCGCAGGGCAGCTCTGCCTCGTCCGCTGCAGCACACGCGCAGCTTGCCAGCCAATGGCAGACGCATTGCTTTGTGAAGAAGTGCCGTGGCCCAGTGCATGGCCAGCAGCTGCTGCAGTCTGCGAATCCATGCTTTTTTTTTGTTGTTGTTGTTGGCTCTCAGATTGTGTGCCAAAAAAAAAAAAACTCAGAAAGAGACCAAGACTGCGCTCGTTGCTCGAAAGAGCTTTCAAGTCGATGCGGGTACAGAGTTTAAGGGAAGAGTGGCAAAGTCGTTTGACAACAGTGGTGCTCATACATGTTTCCATTTTGCACTCCAATAGAGCTACTATTGCACTGCGGGTGACCATTGCCACTCCTCTGCTGTTCCCCCAGGACGACGAGAATGGCAGCACCCGGGTTTGTCATGCTGCGACTGCCACAGACCCTCTCCGGCCGGCAGTCCAAGATTGTCTACCGCATACGCCTGCAGCACGAGCACGAGCGCATCGAGGCAGAGCTCGCTTCAGCCGCGAAGGCAGCCAAGAAGACGAAGGCAGCAAACCACTCAGTGACGAGTGGCAGTAGTAGTAGTAGCAGCGGGTTCGCTGGGTCGCAGCCCACCTCAGCAAGCCGGATGCTCGCCCAGTCGGCTGCTGCACATACGCCGCATTCCCCCATTGCGACCGCCGCAGGCACCACAGGCGTCGAGCCGTTCTCAGTGGTCATCCACAACAACTCCGACGCCAGCGACGTTCTGCAGCAACTCGCACCCGCCCCAACCCCGCCAAGCACCCTGGCTGCGTCCGGCAAGTCCCAGACCGATGAGACAATCGCCACTGCCGCCGTCGCTGCTGCAGGTGAGTCGGCGATACGATGGGATTGCTCTTTCTTGTCGTCTGAGATTGAAGTGCTCTTCCATTTTTATGACATGACTCTTGAACTCAGGCCCGGTCATGTCGCCAACTGGACACTTGGATCTTGTTCGAGACGTGCTGGCTGCTTTTGGCGTTGCTGAGCGCGATCTGGTGTGGCTCTCAACGTCGCCGCGGGTGACGGCCGCGCAGCAACCAGCCACAGCATGCGCCACTCCGCCTCCGAGCGTTGTTGGCACGACTACCAGTGCTGACGCTGCTGGTGCTGCTGGTGCTGCTGTAATTCCCCAACCCGCAGCAAAATCCCCCGCAGATAAACCAATGCAAATTTCGCTCACAACCCCGCAAACACCCGCTGCGTCGTCGGCAACCGCCACTGTCACATCCATGAGCTCCGTCGCAACGAATACCGTCAATGCCACCACCAAAGCCACTCGTGGAGATCATCCAACGGCGTCCCAAAAATCATCCTCCGCAAGCGATCATGTCGTGCTTTTTCCATGCCTGCACGATGTCGAGCAAGTGCTCAATGCGCTGCTGGAGGCCGGCGTCGGCATTGTCTACGGGAGTGTGGACATTCTCCCGCTCCTCATCAACCGTGCCGCCAAACCACTGCCGCGCAATCGAAAGCGCAAGCCACAGAGCAGCAACGCTGGCAAATCTCCTCGCCACAAACGCCTGGATTCGCTGCGTCCTCAGGCGTCTGCAACGGTGCGCCAAACATCGGCACCGGCAGTGGTATCGACTGCAGCAATGCTTGAGCCTGTGGACAAGGTGCTGCGGAGTAACAGTGCCGGTCCGACTGGCAGCTACAACATTGATCACAAAGACCTGGCGGTACCCAGCGGCGAACGGCCGGCGTCGCAGCTCATCACCACGCAGACAAGGCTTCTGCGCGTCGATCACGTGGCGGAGGAGCAGCTGCAGAGCGAAGAGGCAGCAGTCCGATCATCCCGCCAGCTTGACGCAGTAGATTCGGCGAATACCGTTTTGAGCACCAGGACGACCAACCCTACCAGCACTGCAGACGCGGCCTCCAGTACCCATGGATCCATCTCCAAGACGAATCAGAAACTCGCTGGGTCGGAACAGGAAGACGCCAGCAATGTCGACGACAGCGATGAAGAGTTCGTTTCTGATGACAGCACCGAGGACGACGCCGACGACGACGACGACGACGAGGACGACGAGTCGAATGACGAGGCTGGTCCAAAGAGAAAGATTAAAAGTACCCACTTTGGCGGGGACGATTTGGATGAAGGAGACGACGATTCAGAGGACGCTCAGGATCAGGAAGACATTGTCAAGCTCCGCACCGGCTTTGCAAAGTTCCAAGATACCGTCCGCTCGCGCCTGATGGTCGACCAAGTCGCAAGTGTGCTCCAATCTGCCGGCGAGCTGAGCTTTGACTTTCTGGCACTCACGGTTGTGGCCAGCTGCCTGGCAGGCCTTGGTCTCGGGTCGAACAACGCGGTGGTCATTGTGGCCAGCATGCTTGTCTCGCCAATCATGGGCCCCATTTTGGCAGTGACATTCGGCTCGGTCATCCGCGATCGCCACCTCATCACTACGGGCGTGCGCTCGGAGGTGATTGGCCTGTCGATCTGCCTGGCCATGGGCTTCATCATGGGCACCATCTGGACGAACTGGGGTCCGCAGTTCTCCTGGCCAACCTCGGAGATGGCGGCACGCGGCGATTGGACGGGCATGTACATTGGCATCTGCGTTGCGATCGCGTCGGGCTTTGGCGTCGCCCTCTCTGTGCTCGGCAACAACACGAGCAGTTTGGTTGGCGTGGCCATCTCGGCTTCGTTGCTTCCCCCAGCCGTGAACGCCGGGATGCTGTTTGCCTACTCCATCTGGGGTCCACTCATACTAACGGCAACGGAAAGGTCTGCGATCGACTTCAACGACGTTGCTCGCACCGGTGGCATCAGCTTTCTGCTCACCGTCGTCAACATCATTTGCGTCTTCTTTTCGGCGTACGCCATGTTCAAGCTCAAACAGGTCGCCCCGATCGCCAAGAAACCAAAGTTCTGGCGGGATGCGCTGCCCAACTACCGCGAGAACGGCGAAACGCTGGCAGGCTCGGAAGCCAACGAGCTTGGCGAGCGCTTCCAGCGCTTTGTCCAGCGACATGGCGGTGCTGTTGCGCCTTCCGAGCTCGACGGCAATCCTCAGGCGGTCGCCCAAGCGATGGAAGAGAACGAGCGCACCATTTTTGCCGCAATCCAGCATGGCGGTCGCATCCCGCGCGGGAGCCTTGTGCCGCGTGACAACGGCGGCGGCGCGAACGCTTTCGGCGAGGACAGCAACGCGAATACCGTTATGCCTCCTTGGCGGGTTCGGCCGATTCCCGTCAGCGACATTCTCTCCTACGCTCGTCCGTTCACTAGCTCGTCGTCCTGGGACCACACCGATGCCAATTCCATCTCCCTGGATCCTGGTCAGGCGACCTATCACAACCCGACTTCACAGTTATCGCCGGGTGCCGCGCGACTGGCGAAACTGTTCCAGCCCCCACCGCCCCTGCCCGTGTTTCCCAACGCGTACTACGCAGGCCGACCAACCCGAGTGGCGCAGCACGCTTACGGCCGCCCGTCTGTCCTGATTCACCGTGCATCCGTTCCCCATCAGAGCACAGAGAATCCCACGTCCATCAAAACCACCACATGTTAGTAGTACAAGTGATTTGCCTCATTGATACCTCTGTTGTCGTAGGTGCAACAACTCCAGGGTTTTTTGTCTTGTCTAGAATAACAAATCATTGTTGAGAAGTACTTTGTTCAGTACAAACACGACCGCACCACTCTTGCAGTCATAAACGCCCCAGCAAAGTCAGAGAGTGTCGGCCAATGTGTGGCAAAAAGGCGAGGTGACTTGGAAACCAAAGAGTCGTCAGTGGGTTTCTCGCGACGTTTTGGCGCCAAGATGCATCTTCCACGACCTAGCAATTACCTCGATAGACCGGATGAGAGGCAACGAGCAGACGCAAGAGTGAAAGCGGTCGGTGTGGCATTCAAAAATTGCTCCCTCGCTTTCATTCTCACCCCTGCCCTGCTCGACTGCAATGTGGTGGCAGGAAACGGATTCGTCGTCAGTTTTGTTTTTCTTGGGCAAGGTAGTCACTCGACTTGCTCTCAGATGGCTGCGCTCGTTATTGTGAAAATTAAGCGGGGCTCGGGGCAAATTTGGCGGCTCGGGACGTTTTCGCATCCAAAAAAACTCGGGTGAGCCAAAACGCTGTGGAATTCGTGTGATGCGGCTTGGGTTTGGGCAGGATGCCTGTCTCGTCCCCCGCTGCGCAGATCGGCCAGCTCGTGCCGATGGGAGAGTGAATGTGGTGGTATTGTAGTGGGCGATGAGAGCGACGCCTCTGTGTTTGGGTATTTGTCAGGCGTGGGAGGAAGAGTTGCCTTGATCGATCCTGATTGCAGCTCGGATCGTGCCTCTCGATCTCGCTCCCTCTTCACCCGCTCCACTCCACCCCCACGGCACTCCCGACCAGATAGTCCGGACTCGTTCATCACTGGCAATGTCTGTGCATGTGCGTATTCAGCTCATCGCAAACTCACTCAACAAACAACACAGAACGAAATCCGTCGCAATGACGTTCAATCATCGATCGATCGCTTTTGGCCAAACATACTAAAATACACAATCGGATGATGAGAGCTGAGAGCTCTCGATGGAATGACAAACCCCTCCTGTCAAAATAAAGCTCACGGCTAATTCCTTCCCTCTTCAGTGCAATCGATCTGGGCAGGAGAGAAAACCGCACCTCTTAAATGAAATGTGAAAGGGCGGCAAGGAGGGGGGTGGAACAATTTTGGACACCGCCCATCACTCAGAACCGGGCTTGTCTTCCCCCCTTCCCCTTGCGGTCATGGGACGATTGCTCTCTTCCACTCTATTCAAGTATTCACTCTAAGTGGCAACGCCACGTCTTGGAAGAACGAAGACGCGACAAAAGCCGGCAAACCGACCGATTTTGGCGTTCCCAAACCGAAGCATTTCATTGGCGTTCATTTATGATATGGCAGGGTCAGCGGGCGATTGCGTTCCACCACCACCCCTCCTAATGTGCGTGGCATACTTTGCAACTCTTCTCCCCTTTCAATCGAATTGTAGTATCGTCGCGTTGTCGCTTTTTGAATTGCATCCAAGCCAAACCATCAAGCAGGGCTGAAAAGTTCACTCCTTTTTTTTTTTCTTTTTTTTTGGAATTCCGTTTGTTTTTTTAATTATTATTATTACCTGCTCTTGTTCGTCCTTCCACCGCCCTTTGAGCCAGTTCCACAAGCAAAACCCTTTCTTTGTGCTTCCACTACAGTTTGCAGTCCCAAAGAGCTGCCTTCGTTCCCCGCGTGCTCTAGTTCGTGTAATGCTCACCAACGCTTTGGCATTTTTGTGTTTCGTTTCTTTCTCTTGTTCACATTGAGCTCGCTCCTTTGCTGTTCCGCTCCCATTTCTTGCCTTTTGTTGTCTTTTCCTTTCCGCACCCCTCGTCCTGTCTCTCTCTCTCTCTCTCTCTCTCATGCTCCAATCCTCATGCTCCAATCCCCAACCGTCGCATGCCGGGTTGAACTTCGATCCGATTTCGGGCAATATGAACGTTCCGCACTGCGGCATTTTTTTTTATTTTTTTTTTTTTTTTGGTTTTTCCATTATTTCATTATTTTTTCCATTATTTTTTTTTGTTGGAAATGCCGCCCGATCGATCTCAACGCATGTAGAATAACCAACGAGGAAGCACACAAAACACATTTGTTCAGCCACAAACGTGTGCCATCTCAAAAGCAAACAAAAGCTGAACACTGGTTCATTGCCTTGAAAGCGAACGCTGCTGCTGATGCACGACCCCACATCACACCTGTCGTCGTTCTTTCGCGCTTTCTCGTGCCTCGTTTGCTCGCGCGCGGTTTAATCAATGGTGTTGCATTGGCATCGGCTGGCCGATTCGTTGTGCGGTGTTGTTCTTTGTGTGTTTTGTTTCCCCCCGTTTGTTCGCTCTTGGGTTGTTTGTGGTTCTAGGCAGTGGACATGCACGACCACAAACCGTGATGCTGCAACAACGAATGAGCAATTTGTCAACGCCCACTTTTTGTGCACGAGAGGAGGTTTAGTCGCTCAAACCTCAAATTGCTTTGACGTTTTCCAAAAGCGGATCAACGACACATCTTCTTTCTGTTTTTTTTTTTTTTTGTTTTTTTTTTTTTCAACTTTCGCTTGAAATTGTCAGATCTCCTCTTCCACGTCTTTTGCCACTATTTTGTATGTTCTTTGTCTTTTGAAAGGCGTGAAGGATGACGAAAGCGCTCAACCTGTCTGATCACCTTGGCGTTGTTGTTTGTTCTTTGTTTTCAACCGATTGTCGTCCGTCTCTATTCTCGACAAAGTGACTCCATTCCCCATCACCTCATGCTCGGAAAAACCCGCAAAAAACGCCAACCTTTCTGTCAAACACACACCCCATCCAAAAAAAAAATCGCTCACACCTCTCGTGTTGTGTTTGTTTGTTTGTTTCGAACAGGCAGTCTCTCTTCTGTTTTTGTTGTTGTTGTTTTTCTTTTTGGGCGAATGCTGCTCTTGTACGACCCGCAAACGCCGCCCGGCTCGGCGACTGCAGAGCTCGTCCCGACCTTGAACAACGCCGGTCTGCCATGCCGCTGCTCTGCCAACGCAGCAGGTGCATGTGTAACAAGTGAGGCACAACTTCCGGCCTGTGTCTGTGGCAGCAGCAGCAGCAGCGAGGGGAATTTCACCTCTCGACCGGCTTCCGCACCTCAAGCGCGCAGCAGCAACACCTCGGCCGTTTTCGCACGCATGGTGCCCAACCCCGTCTCCGTTGTGCTGCCCGCAAAGGAAGAAGCACAGCCAGGAACAGTTCTGCGGGCGGGACTGGTCCAGGCAGCCTCCATTCCTTCCAACGAACGGGACATCTTAGCGCACAATTTTGGACAGGCCGGCCAGCTTTCCACGACGCTCGCCCTGGCGTCCTCCAACTCGCAGACCCGCCTCCTTCTCCCTTCCCCACTATCGACAGAGCCCAAGCTGGCGTCCGAGGCTGCCTTGGGAGGGGCAGGCGGCCACGAGTCTACTCGTTCGTTGGCCGGTGCAAACTTGAACGCTCCCCACTTTTCCACCGAGAAGCCATTGCCAAAACTTGAAATTGGCAAGGCCTCTGCGTTCTCGCGTGCCCTTGTGAGCCAAATCACATCGGACATGGATCAGAGCAGTGACGAAACGACCACGGGCACTGAAAATGACCACTCGGTAATTGCCTCCGTTCCTCCGCCGGCCACCCAGGACGGATGCGACAGCAATTCGCCGAAGACGCTTGGCTCGAGTCGCGTGTCGATGCCTGCGGTCGATTTGACTGCGGCCACCACCATGGCAACTACTCAAGCTCGCCAACCTGCCACCACCAAATCCACCTCTGTTGTCACCCAGCCCACGCCTCGAACACCCTCCTCCTCCGTTCTGCCCTTCGGAAGCCCTCCGCGTGACATGCTGATGAACTTTAACTCGTTGCCGGGCTCGCCCATTCTGCCCGGGACGGCTTCTCAGCAAGGCGTAGCGGGCATGATGCCGACGCCCCGAACAACATCGCCTGCCAGTCTGCGCCGCATGGCCTTGAGACTGCGCGTCACGCCCAGCGAGTGGCAGACACCCCCGCTCTCGTGCTCGTCCGCGTCCTCCGACACAACCAATCGCGGTGGACTCGGCGACCAGCTGACCGACGACACAGAAACCGACATGACGGACATGGACGACCATCTCAGCACTCAGCTTGACGCTCTGCCGTCGTTTGAAGAGTTTTCAGAGTCGTCCTCGATGAGCTCGCTCTGCAGCACCTATGGTGACATCAACTGGAGCAGGTTGGAAAACTCGATCAACAACATTTCGCAGCCGCTGCCTGAGGGCACCAACTCGGCCAGCTGCACTCCGCTCAGCGTATCCCCCGCCCTGATTGCTCAGTCGCCGCTTGCCAGCAAGCGCAATCGTCGTAGCAGCCCGTATCTCTCGCCGCTGAATCTCAGCCCGGCGCGTCCCTCGGCCAACCCCGACCGAAGCGCAGGTGCGACATCGGCTGCTGTCTTGAACTCGGCCAGCTCTCCGCCGTTATCGCGCTCGGCTGCCCAAGTCAGTGCTAGTGCTGGCGTCACCCCCATGTACACTCCATCCATTTCGACGCACGACATGCACCACGACAACCTGTACTCGGACACCACGGCCGCCTTGCTCAGCGTTAACGAGGAAGTCGCCAACGACTCGGCAGACCTGATCGCCACACGCAGCCTGCCCGAGTTCCCCGCGGCCAGCCTTGCCGGGAGCGTCTGCGACATGGAGCTGCCTCCGCTGGATGCGCCCGAGCAAATTCAGTACGCTCAGGTCGTGTCGACGCTTGGACTGTCCGCCCAGCGCCGAGCCTCTGGCCTGCGGTCCTTGTCCACCACCATTCTGCCTTCGGAGGAAGGCATGGGCTTTGCCGCCAGCGTCACGTCGTCGCGCATGCGACAAGCCGTCTGGGAGCTGCAATTGGCCGACATTGCCATTGAAACCTGCGTGGGCGTGGGCTCGTTCAGCAAAGTGTACACGGGCATGCTTCGATCCGAGCGCGTTGCCATCAAAAAGCTCACTTGCACGGACAAGGCCCCGGCCAACCTCACCACAGAGCTGCGCGAGGAGGCGGAGCTGCTTGGCTACCTTTCGCACCCCAACATTATCCGATTCATGGGCGCAGTCCTCACCGAGCCCGACTTTTGCATTGTCATGGAGTTTGCCACGGGAGGCACTCTCTCCCATCGACTCGCAAAGGGCGAGCCCGCGGAGGCACCGCTCTTGCACGCGTGGATGATGCAGCTGGCGTCCGCCATGTACTACCTCCACTTTTTGGCGCCGTTCACTGTCATTCACAGCGATCTCAAGTCGGCCAACATTCTTTTGGGCAAGGACGATGCCATCAAGCTGACCGACTTTGGCCTGGCTCGTCGCATCTGCTCCTCTGGCGACCGCGCGATCGACTTTCTGAACTCTAGCGCAGACTCGAGCCCCGCCGGGTCGTCCACCGCCGGTACGTTTGGCTGGATGAGCCCCGAGGTCATCCGTGGCAGCCGCGTGACGCGTGCCTCCGACGTCTGGAGCTATGGCGTCGTGTTGTGGGAAATGCTGACTCGCGAAGTCCCGTTCAACGGTGTGGACGGTCTTGCTGTGGCCTATGGTGTCGCCACTGGCCGTCTGAGCTTGACCATTCCCGCCACTCTGCCCGAGCCTCTGGCGCAGCTGCTTCGCGACTGCTGGGCGAGCGATGCGTGCAATCGACCCGACTTTGGGTCGATTATGACTCGCCTCGAGGCTGTTGGCCGAGGCGCCTTTGTGCACACGCGCAGTCGCATGCTGGCTGCGCTGCAGGCGCACTGGCGCGCAGACGTTTGCCAGGACATCAGTATCGTCCGTGCTCTGAACATTGGTGCCGACGTTCGTCGCTTGGTACTCATGCAACGCTCGCGCCGGCACATGGACGAGGCGCTGCAACGCGTCCGCCTGGAACGTGACGAGAGCGAGTGCGACGGAATGGTTCGCTCTGATTCGAATCAAAGCCGTCATGTGGTCACCTTCAGCGACCAGCCGGCAGAGCCTGCCGCTTCCTCGGTTGCAGCCAGCGCCAATGCGAACGAGCAAGTTGCGTCTAGAATCCCTCCTCACATGCCCATGCGCGCAACCAACCAGCAGCCAACGTCCATTCTGAAGAAGAAGAGCGCGGTCGACATGAAAGCCGCCACCGATTACAGCAGCTCTACGACTTGCCTTCCTGCCGTGGACATTGCCACCGGAGGAAAGAGTGCTTTGGCGGCTGCTACCAGCGCTCAGTTTGCCCAACCTCTCGTCACCCATGCAACCACGACCGCGGCAGCCGCTGCTGCAAACGCCAACGATCGCGCCGGCATGCTGGACGCGGACTTGCCACCCAAACGCGCCGCTTTTAGCGCCCTGCTACCCCCGATTGCTCCACCAGTGTGCAAACAAACAACGTGCTCGCATCTGTCCATGTGCTCGTGCTTTGGAAGCGGGTCGGTTCAGCCTGGTAATGTCTCGTTGAGTGGCATCGTCACCACCCCAGTGCGCAACTCGCGCATGAAGCGCACAGTCACCCCTACTCTGCCTTACATTCGCCACATCAGCCAGGATGGGGACACGCTTGCCAGTGCCCTGCCACACAGCGCCTCGTCACTCGACTCGCCGCAGCTGCCCCCGCCTCGTCAAGTTGGGCGTGCCTCGGACTGTACCCTCAACTTGCCCTCGTCAACGCTGTTTTCGGGCCGCGTCAACGCGAACCAGCGTTTGCCATCGTCCGCAGACCCTCTTCCAGCGACCACCGACAAGGAGAAGGAGGAGAAGGAGACGCGGACAGGCTCGCAATCGATTCCAACCTTGCCAGAGGTGTCGCCGATGGCTCCAAGGCTGACTCATCGTCGCTGCCGCTCGCACAGCAACCCCGTGATTGTCCCGATTGCTTTGCGAACCACATCACTCACCGAGCCAATGGACACCCTTACTGTTGGACCGGCCTCGCTTCCTCGCGATTCGGCCTTCCCTCCGCCACCGCCTTCTGGTACCACGCCAGTTGGCGGCACCCACTCCTCGGCCTCTATGCAAAGCGCGGATGCGCTCTCTTTGAGCGGCTCTGACTGCAGGCCAATCTCTTTGGCCATGCGCAAGCCGCCAGTGCTGGCCAGCTCGCTCTCCATCAATCCGGAAGATGACTGTCCCAGCTCCAAGATGTTTGTCCGACGCGCCGAATCGGCCGCGCACCGACGAACGTCGCAGACACTGCCCTTGCCGCATGGCCGAGTCACCAATTGCGATCCCGTTTTGGATTACCAGGACTGGCGTCGCACGAATCGCGCCTTGCAGTCCAATCGATTGAGCGCCACATCGATGACACTGGTCCAGTCCGCCGCGGCGTCTCCAGAAGCCTCGCAGGGCGAGCTGACCGACAAGTCCAATGTTTCAAACGATTCGATCCTTGAAGAGTCGGATTCGTTGGATGATGGCATTGTGCGGCTGCACTTTTCGGACAACCAGGAAAAGTTTGCACACGCGACCGCACGCGAGCATGACATTTCTTCTGCAGTTCCAGTCCCTCGAGTTACGGTGGACGCAGGAGGCCGCACTTCTCCTGGCACTTTGACACAAACCGCGCTTGCGGAAGTCCCATGCATGGCACAGCGCGGCAGCAGCAAATCTTCCGCCTTTGCGCATTGGATGACCACGACGTTCAACCTCGTGCGTCCAAAGAACAAGAGAGCTTGAATGCTTTTGCTTTTTGGTTGATTCTTAATTCTTGAATTGTGTTTTTTCTCCTTTCTTAGCTTTAGCTTTGTAAACCGCTATGCCTTTTGTTAACAACCCCCCCCCCCGCTCCTCCGCTTTCCTTGCTCGCTTGTAAATGATTCTCCGTTAACTGAATTAAAAACCCACTCTTATTCAAACCAATCAGCATGTGTACAAGTACAATCGGAGTTTTGCTATCAAACTCGTGCAGCATGCTGCTGAGACTGTTCTGCGGCATCTTCCGAAGCCGGAGCCTGTTCGTGCAACCGCCGTGTCCAATCGAACGGGCGCCACAGAGTCCGGAACGCGTCGACGCGCGCCTTTTGTTGAGGAAACTTTTCGTTGTGGGGATTGGTCCAAAGATGCGGCTCGAGTTCAAGCAGCCCACCAACAACTTCCTTTCCAAAGGTGGGGCGGAACTTGAGTTCGTTATCGACAACGTGAGCATACCCAAAGTCCATGCCGAACTCCACGTGAAAGTACGGAAAGCCCGCTGGAAGGCAATTGCGAATCGGCCGCCCTTTCGTCTCAATCAATTTGGGGTTGGCTTGCCACTCGGACTCGGCCTCAACGATTGCCTTCTGCTCGTCGAAAGGAGGTGTCGATAAAGCAGTGAGTCGGCTGGTCTGGAATCAAGATTGGTTGAGGACTCTGTTGCTCAAGCATTGTGCTCACCTTGTAGTACATGGGTGCCTCGCTGCCCAAGTCGCGAGATAGTGGAATGCACTCAATCTTGGTGTGGTGCTGGCGCTTGAGGTGCATGACTGTCTCAAGGAACACGACGTCAAGATCCTGCGCCAAGAACATTTTGGTGACAAACTTGCGGAAGAGCTGGATGGACGAGAGAAGGGTGGAGGGAGGGGGGAAGGGGAAGGACCAACAAAAAAAGGGGGTCAACACGAACGTGAGAACAGTGCCACAAGCACGCCACATGCAAACACAAAAGAATTCAAGAGAATCGAGAAAATCGAAAAATACAACATGCCAATCTCAACCACACCCTTTACCTGCATCTCGTCAATGACTTCCTCGTCAAACGTGCTGGCAGACACTGAATGCTGAATTGGCACAATCACGCAGTGGCCTTTTGCCAGAGATCCGGAAGCAGGTAATGCGAGGTAGCAGTTAATCCCGGTTGCGATCGTCAGATGTGCCTGATAGTGCGACGACGTGGGACACAAGGGACAGCCATCCAAAGTTGCTTGATGGCGATTGTGATCCAGCACTGCCCGGTTGCGCGCCTTGTCTAAAGCACGTTCAGAAAGACAAATGAGCAACACTTTGACGTGGTAAAAAACCCAAATCTTCAACAGCCGCTTCTCTCACCTTCATCCGTCATGCCAGGTCGATTATGTCGAGAGCTCTTCTTTGCGGCTGCATCATCGTGGTGGCGACGAACATACTCGTCGCCGACATCGTGCTCCGAGTTGAGGCCAGAGCTGCCGCGGGAAATCTTCATCACATTCTTGGCAAAGTCTCGATCGTAGTCTTCCACGCCAGCACCCAACTTTTCACGCTGCGCCATCGATCGAATATCACTTCCGAACGACGAAGGTAGTGGCCGAAGGCCTCCCGTACGATCTGTCTGGCCCGCCACAACCTCGACCTCATCCGGGGCTGAGCTCGAAGCGTGATGATTGCGGTCGCGATCGCGGCGATCATGGCGATCATGGCGGTCGTGTCGACTCTCTTCTCGCTGGTCACGGCCATGACTGTCTCGACGATCGCGGCTGTCTCGGTGGTCACGATGGTCTCGATGGTCTCTATGGTCTCGATGGTCTCGATGCTCACGATGGTCTCGGTGCTGATTTCGCGATTCGCTTCGTGGCGCGGATGATGAACGCTCGTGCGCAACCGGCGCTGATACACTGCTGAACACGGCTGTTGGTTGGTGCTGGGACGCTGCAAGCGCTGCTCGCGCCGTTTCCAGCTCGAGTTTGAGCTTGCTAATCTTGTCTGCATCGCCCATCATTTCGGCCTTCATGAGCTTTGCAGCGATTTGGTTGCACTGAGCTTCAGTGACTGGCTTGGAAGCACTGCTGCTGCTGCTGCTGCTGTTGCTGCTGCTTGTCGCAGGAGGGGCAGTGGCTGAGGTTGGCAGTGTTGCAACTGGATTGCTCTGCGGTTGCGCAGCTGCTTGCTTCACCAAGTTAGCTTCACTACTACTAGTAGTAGTTGTAGTCGACGGTTGGGTCGTCTCGTCCATTGGCATTGGCACGGGAGCGGCAGTCGGAACGGGTGACGCTCCAGCAGACGAGTTCTGGCTGAGTGCCAACGGCGTTCCCAGCGCCGACGCCGGCTGGCTCTTGGTGCGTTTCCAGCCACCAGTCAGAGCAGCGAGTGCGAGCGACGAGTCCGACCGCGCGACTCCAGCCGCCGCCGCCGCGGGTGAGCCAGCAGCGAGTCCCACTGAGCCGGGCGTCGTTGTCGAGCCTGACGCTCCCATCGCCATGGCTGCTGCCGGCGCGCGCAGCTTGGTCTTGAGCGCAGACACGGCTGCATTCGACGAGATGCCCGTGGTCAGCAGCAGATCGTCGTCCGACATCATTGGCTTGGCTTGGCTGCGCTGAGAAGCGTCGTCCTGTTGTGTAGAAGACGCAGCAACGTCCAGCGCAACTCGCTTTCGTGCATGCTCGTCTGGATGAGGTCGCACAGCTCCAACACTGTCGGTCAGAGGAGACGACGAGTCGCGAGGAAGGCTGCTGCGGGCGTCGTCAGCGCCATCGTCGTGGGCGCGTTTTGACATGTTCTGAGAAATCGAATTGAACAAAAAAACAAGAAACAAAAAAAAAAAAGAGTGGCTGTGACTTGGCTCAGACAGGAAGCGAACAAAAACGCATTGTTAGGACCAGTACATTGGTTACACTCTAAAAGTACATCTTCCTGCACTCAGACAACTCAAAACTTGAACAACACTTAAACATCCGTCTCGAACGCTTCAGGACCGTCTTCAGGCTCCATTGCAAGGACGGGGAGATCGGAGGATTGAGACACGGTCGCGGGCTCCTGAGACAGCTCGTAAATCAACTGCCGTTGCTGCGCCGACTGCGTTGGATCGTGCTCTGGCTCGTCACCCTCATCACTATCGCTGGTGTCGCTGGAATCACTGCTGTCGCTGCTGCTGGACAACGCATCGTCTTCTGCGTCGAGGCCATGATCAAGCCCACTGCCCGCCGACAGGTTGTTTGCACTGCCAGCCGATGCCGGCGAATGCGCGCCGCCAATGCTAAAGCGCGGAGTCGTCGGATGATCAACATTGATGCGCGTATCGTCAGGAATCGTCACAGCAGCAGTATTAGCAGTACTAGCAGCAGCAGCAGCAGCAGTATTGGCAGCAGTTGCATCTGCCGCATCTGGATCACCATTGAACGTAAAGACGGAAGCAGGCCTGGCAAGCCCGGGAATGTGCCGACTCAGCCGATGCAAGGGCGTCATTGGAATGGACGCCCGACTGGGAAGGTCCTGGCTCACGCGCGTGGGCGTCGTCGCCGCGCTGGCACGCGACTGAGTCTGATACATGTCCTTCTCTACAGGCGTGTCAGGATCGGTCGACGTGTGCGGCGTATGCTTGACAAAGTGCGATCGTGTCAGGATGCCCACGACATGGTAGCTGTGGTCGACGACCACGAGGTGGCGCAGTCCAAGCTGCCGAAAAACGGAAAACGCCTTGGCGACTGGCATGCCCGCCATAATGGTGGTTGGCGAGCGATGCATGATGGTCGACAGGTCGATGAGCACGTCTGGCACGAGCGACAGGGGCGCAATGATGCCGCGCCGCACAGTGTGTGACGACGCCTGCTCGTCAAAGTGGCGCAGTGCGCGAAGGGCTTCGGCTTCCAGGAGATCGAGCTGGGTGACCGAGGTTGCAGTTGGCATGGGTGCCACGAGAGAAGAATTCGTAATGTGCAAATTCGGATGATGGACTTTGGCAAACTGGTGGCGTGCGCGCAGGTATTCGGATGTGGGGTGGCGTCGGGCTTGCTCGGCTTCTTTGCGCCGCAACGCGTCGGCCACGACCTGGTGGAGAGCGACCTCGAGATGGTAGCGCAAAACCAGACCCACCAACTTGCCGTGTCGACGCAAGCCACCCAGCTTTGTTTGCTCGTGGCCGCCGGTTGGCGTCGTCGGCGCTGGCAAGCCGCGGTTGCGACGGTAGTCCTCGACGACAGGGAATCCGTGGTGGCTGCAAGCCGACAGCATGCGATGCAGAAACTTGGCGCGCACAAGACGGGGGATGACCAGAACAGGCTTGGACATGAGGTCGTGGACGCGTTCTGTCGCGGCTTCGGGCGGAGGCTCGTGCTCGATGAAAGGAATGTTTCCCACGTGCAACAAGGCGTGGTAAAGCGACGGGGAGAGCGCGTTGCCGATGGTGACGGACGCAATGATGGCAATCAGCAAGCCTGCGAGGGCGTCGGGACTCTGTGTGACATCCATCATGATGAGCGTGACAGTCAGGGTGATTCGCGCAATGCCGGCCCAAAACGAGCCGGCGCCAATCACAGCAGTCAAGCCGGGATCAATGAGCCGAGCGCCCAGAGGTATCTTGATGTACTCGTTGACAAACATGCCGAAAAAGCGTCCCAGCGAGCCGCCAACCAGCAAGGCTGGCAGCACATTACTTGCCGGAATGGCGAGACCTGCAGTCAGCTGGGTCAGCAAAAACGCAATGCCAAAGTAGCCTGCGAGGACTTTCATGCTGAAAATGTTGTACGTGCCGCGACGAAGCAGGTTGCGCAGCGCATTATCGGGAGTCACCTGGAGAAGAGATCCCCACTCGTAGTAGCACGAGAAGTAATCGATACCAAGCTCCTCGGTGATGGGGACGTCCAGGACTTGGCGCATCGGAGAAAGATCAACAATGCTCGAAATAAAGGCCCACGGGTAACACAATGTTCCATTGTTCGCGAGGACGTCGGAATCCGCCAAGTCTGTCAACATGTACTGAACGGAGAGCGGAACGCACACATCAGCGAAGGCGGAGACAATTTTCGTTTCGTTGGCGCAGAGATTCAGATGACTGAAGACGGACAGCGCGTTCGACATGGGTTCGCACGTTTCGCCGTGAGGTACATAGACCGTCAGGAGCGCAGTGATGATCACAATGCCCATGGCTTCGAGCCAACGGCGCAACGGGTACTCGCCAATGAAGCGATGGCGCAGGTGCGTCAAGTAGAGGTACACGCGGTTGTATGCGGCACCCAGCAAGCCCGAGATGACACCCAAAATCACGTAGGCGACAAAGTCACCGATATCAAAGGTGGACTGGCAGTTCGCATCATCACCAAAGAGAACGAGGTCTGAGACGTTAATGGAGCCACCACTGTAGATGATGAGCAGGGTCCAGTAGGAGACAGACGCAGCCAAGAAGCAGCGGAAGATGAGCCGTGGATGGAAGAAGGACATGGCCTCTTCAATGGCAAACACAACGCCGGCGAGTGGCGAATGAAATGCTGCAGCCAGACCGGTGCATGCGCCAACCATGGCAAAAAAGACGTTTTCACGGTCGGCTTTCGGAGCGCGATGGTGGACTCGCCGGAGGTGGAGAAAACGTTTCATCCGATGCCAGAAACTGATGCGAAAGTTGCTCTCAGGTTCCTCGCAATCAGCAGGGTTTGCTGCAGAGGGCGTTGACGGTGCCGAGCTGGTTGCCGACCGTCCGACACTGTAGCTATTCATGCCGTAGGTTGGAGCGTAGGCGCTGGAGGAGGCGTCAGCAAAGGAGGAAGTGGATGCTTTACCGAGTGACGACGTCTGGTTGGGGTGCTGCGACGAATTGGAAAAGGTAAAAGATAGAAAGCTCATCGAGCTGGACAGGGCGGCAACAGAGGAAAGGTGGGGCTCCTCCGCATCCTGGCGCTTGAAGATGAAGGTGCGCAAAAATCCGACCTCGCGCATCAGCACAACGGACAGGCTCGCGCCAATGTGCACAGTGGGGCCTTCCGGATCACACATCAGACCAGAGCCGACTGCCAGGCCGGTGCCCAGAATTTTGACAATGAGCGTCTTGAACGAGACAAGGCCTGGGATGGCAACGCCGTTGAGGTACCCAATGACTTCGGGAATGCCCGAGCCTGTGGCTGCTGGCGCAATAAACACGAGCACGAGCGCAATCGTGACGAGCGTCGCGGAAAAGAGCGTCGACAAAATCCACGCCTGGCCAGGATCGTCCTTGTGGGCGAAAACAAGACTGTCCATTCGGTAGTCGGACATGACGTTAATCCACTTGTGCGAGCCATAGTAGATCAGGGCAATCAGTATTGCAGTGACGACCGCCAGTGTGTACAGGGCGACCGCACGCTCAATCCGGTACGATCGCGACAAGAGCTTTGAGCGCATCTCCTCGCTCTCGACCGTGTCCATGGCCTCGAAATTGAGCGTCTCGGCGGCCTTGCTTTCGTGCGACAGTCGCTGGCGCAGGCGCTGCATGCCATGGTACACAAAGTTGGAGACATTGTCTCGAAAGTCGTCGAATGTGTGATGATGATGCGAGGCCGAGGGCGGTGGGGAGTGGTGGTGGTCGTGGTGGTGGTGATCTTGAAGATGAAGCGGGCTGTCGCGGCCATGCGATGACTCGTCCCGGGCTTGGAAACTGCCTTGAGAGCATCAGCGTGTCAAGCGGGTGGCTTGCATCCTGACTGGAGGCGGAGCGCGCATAGAGCCCAGAGTGTCGCTTTGTGGCAGCGGCAACAGGAGTACCAGAGCCAGCACCAGCACCAGCACCAGCACCAACATCGTCACTAGAAGCACTTGTCATCGTCGTTGATGGGGCGCCTGCTGGTGCCTGCGCGTGCTCTGTGACGCTAAAGTGGGGTTCGGTCGCGAAACTGACTCGGCTGCGAGTGGATGCCGCTCGTTGCACCCCAAGGCTGCTGCCTGAGCTCACGCCTGCTGTCGACCGCAGTGCGGTATCTGCCGGCTGGCTCCTGCCTGCTTGATCTTGTGCTTGTGCTTGAGCCTGAGCTTGAGCGGCAGTGATGAGCACTGTCGATGGTGAAGCGGTGGTGTTGCCGCCACGACCTGCAGCAGCAGCAGCAACAGCAGCTTGCTCCTTGTCCCGCTTCGGCTCTGCCTCCTGCTGTCTGAGGCGCTGCGAGGGGCTCGGGTCGCGGCCTGCCAAACAGGATTGGCGGGTCGTCCTCGTCGTCCGACATGTGCAGTGATGACTGACTGACTGGCCTCCAAATCCAAATCCAAATCCAGCTTGCTGAGACACGTCGCGTTCGTTCGTGCTGCTCCTTCGATGTCTTGCTGGGTTGTCATGTTCTGTTGTGGATTTTGGTTGTTCTTGTTGTTCTTTGGCGCTCGCTTCTCGAACTTGTGTTTCTGAGCTGAACTTCAATCTCGATGATTGTAATGCTGTTTCACTCTTTTTCTTTTTCTTTTTTTCTTTTTTTTAATATTTTTTTAATATTATTTTTTTATTATTATTGTAATATTTTGTTTGGTGATGCATTGCTTTACGTCCTTCTTTCCCATCGCCTTTTCGTTGCTCTTGCTTGTCCCCCACACACTCGCCGGCTCGACTCTGCAAACCCCGCGATCGCACATCCTACACGCATGCTGGCTTGTAGTTGCTCCGTTTTCGTTCCTCGATGCTGAGACCCGTGTTGACTGCGCTTTTTTCCATCTCACACATGGAACAAAAAACCAATCTCTTTCAAAAAAAAAAGGCCAAACTTTTCGCGCTCAGCCTGAGCTGCGTGCATCGCAAGTTGGGGCCCGCTGTCTGCTTGAACAGGCCTCTCAAGCCCTGCGCAAACTCACTCTTGTCCGTGTGCGTCGGTCGACGTAGAAGCGGCGATCAGAATTGAAAAAGTGGTTCCTCGTGCTGGTTCCTGCTTCTTTCTTTTTTTTTTTTTGGTTTGAATGTTCCCAGCTCGTGTCTTCTTCCTCCTGCTGCCCCTCAAACGCCCTTAACAACAACCCCCTTTTCTCTGTTTACACCGCATTCAATCTGATTTTGGATGTTGAATGCGTTTGCTTGTGATTGTGATTCTCTCTTTTTTTCTTGTTTTTTTCTTTTTTTTTCTTTTTTCGTTCTAAACCGGTTTTTGGACTCGGTTCCTTTTTTTTTTTTTTTTTTTTCGCATTTTGTTGCTTGTGGTGGCTCACTTTTTTTTCCCTTTCCCTTCCTTTCCTTTCCTTTTCCCTTTGCTTCCATTGATTGCATGTTTGAACACAGAGTCACTCTTTTAGGAGGAAATCCACCTTCAAACCAAATCGCAAAACCACCCCCCAAACAACAAATGGCTCGGATAGTCCTCGCTGCTTTGGCGCCCATTGCCACAGTCATGCTGCTGCTGCTGTCGCCTGCTGCGGCGCTCGATCCCTACATGCCACCAACGCCGCTGCAGTACTCTGCGCTGGTGTCGATTGGCTACATTGATCGCGCCATGTCAGACTCGTACCTCGAGTGGTACGACTACGATCTGCGCTTGCTGCGCAACGACGGCCGCGGCACCGCACTCGACCGCGCCAGCGTCGTCAACCTCGGCACCAATGCAGAGACGTCGTGGACGACCACTGGCCCGGCCGCACAGGCAAACTGCGAGACCTTCTCGATTGCTGGCCTGGACATTATTGCCTCGCGTCTGTACGGTGTTGCCGATTTCATGCAGAACGACGAGTACAACCGCAAGTACTACCAGGGACGCTCGGTGAGCGCGCGCAGCATGCTCTGCGATATCTGGACTTCGTCGAGTGTGAGCCGCGTCGACCACACCCTCTCGTACGACACGGTGGTGGTCAACAACACATACTACGTCTCGGTCAACCCGATCGAAGGCGTCAGCAAGGTGCCGCTTCGTATGCTCATCAACACGACCACGACCACCTACGTCTCGGACGACAATGGTGCCACCTACTATGTCAACAACACTGCTCAGTCGACCATGTACATTGACATGGTCCGCTACCGTAGCGGCGCTCAGCCCGCGTCCAAGTTTGCTCCTCGTCCCTACGTCATTTGCGCGCCCACCACCGCCAACATCCAACCTCTGGAGCGCTCGACCGTCCTCCCGGCGCCCGCTCTCGGCTCAGTCCCGTTCCCCAAGCTGCCGCGCAAGTACACCACCTTCCTCGAGACCAAGCTGACGGGTGGCGCAGAGTCGCTCACCTCCGCCCACTGGTATGTCGACCTCGATCAAGCCTATGAGCGCATTGACAGCTACGACGCTTCCCTCAAGGAGGACACGTACGGCATTTACAAGTACAAGCAGGCATTCGAGGGCTTCTTTTACCAAATCACCCCTTCCAAGTCCAAGTGCTCTTCCGAAGTGCTGTCTTCCACTGGCTCGCACCCCAACACCAGTCCCTTCTCGCGCGTTCGCGCTGGCTCCATCCCCGACCTGTTTGCTGGCAAGCACGGCAACTTTACCTACACTGGCCGATCGAACGCTCCCCGCGGCATTGTCTGCGACACTTGGGTTGGCCACAACACTGTCACTCGCGCTGGCATGATTTACAAGTTCAACACAACCGTCTTCTTCTCTGCTGAGGGCTGGATCCATCCCGGCCAGACCGACTCGGGCACCCGCGTTCCCGTTCGCATTGTCAACACTGGCACCCAGCAAGCCGTCGGCAGCACCATCGCCCCTGTCGCCTATGTTGACACCTGGGACTTTTTCTTCTTTGTGCCCTCCGTCGACAACACGCTGTTTGACGAGACTGCATTCAAGTGCCCCGACGCGCCCCAGTTGTTGCAAAGTTTGATTGATCAGTCGCTCGAGAACGGCAAGACTTTTGGCATTGTCCTTGGTGTTATCGGCGGCATTGCCCTTGTTGGCGCCGGTCTCTTCTTGTACCAACGCCGCATGGCTGCTCGCCGAGCCCAAGCCTATGCTGCCTTCCCCTTGGAAGAGGCCACTTACTAAAACATTTCGTGTTTTGTTGAGGGCGGTGGTAGTTCTTCCCTTCCCTTTTCCATGTGTGTGTGAGTGTGTGTGTGCGTGTGTGTGTGCGTGTGTGGATGTGTGTGCGTGAAGCCAGTGTATTTGTCGGTTTTTTGTCATTTTTTTTTTAAACAAAACAACGTATGTTCAGCTGATTTGTCTGTTTTCCAACCAGCGTGAAACGATAGGGAAGGGAAGGAGGTAGATGGTCGCCAACTGGGTGTATTTACAAAGGCAACAACAGCTATCGAATAAGAGAATGAAGAAATGCGTGCAAACTACGAATCCAACCGTCGCTCTTGCCGAGAACCTGTCGAATCAGTCGAGGAATGTGCCCGTTTGCGAGTACTCAAACTAAGCACCAGACCGGTGTTGGGCGACGATGGTGCGGTTACACCAGAAGACGAGCTTGCTATTGCTGAGGCAATTGCTGGAGCCGAGGTGGGTGGAACGGAAGTTTGGTGGCTGGGATCGGAAGGATCGGCCGCGGGAGGCAAGATGGGAGCAAGCAATGCTGCTAGTGGCTCAACAATGACTGTGGCTGACTCTTGGCTGACCAGCTCAAGGGCGGATTCAATCTGCTTTGGGGCGGCCGCGACCAGCGCGTCCAAGTTCTCCAAGTGTTGCACCTGCGCCAGCAAGCCCCGTGGCAGCCTCCCGCTCAGCTGTCCGGCCATCTCCATCGTGTCAATCATATGAGCTAGCTGCAATCGCAGTTCTCCATATGTCTCGATATCCGTCTGCACGCGCTTGATGTGCTGGTTGCGAGTGTTGTGAGCTGCGGTGACGAGTTCCTGTACCTGTTGTAGGGATTGAGCAAATTCCAGCCAATCCAGCAACAAAAAACAAATGCGGCAAACTCAAACAATCCAACGCGCTGCTTTGGAAGAGGCGTTGGTTCATGAGTGCGCTCCAGCAGGAGCAGCGCACGAGGAGCACGAGCAACTCATGCACTCTCACTCTCACTCTCACTCTCGCTCTCTCACTCTCGCTCTCTCACTCTCGCATCGACCCCATTACCTGAGATAGATCGTTTGATATGTTGGCCATGTCCATAAGCCGTCGCGTGCGCTCGCGAGCCAGCTGCGTGCGCTCAAACTGGAGCTCCGACGCGAGCGAGAGGGACGCCTGGATGCGCTGGTCCAGCGACCGCATGCCCTGCTTGACGTCGTCCAGATCGCGCATATCAATGCTAGAAAACAAGAGCAAGTGTAGTTTGAAGAAGTGAGGTTTTGCGCAATGTTGAGGGATTCAGTGTGTGTCAACGTTACCTGATGGAAGGCTCTTCAACGTCGACGTCCTCAACGAGCGCCATTCGTATTGGAACAGCAAAGTAAATCAAGACTGAGGTAGTCGAGTGTAGCATATTGGAAGAACCTGTTCAGGTACAACAGCACAGCTTATTTTGATCTCAGACCAGTCATTTTCTACATTTGGAATTGTCAACTTCTGATTTTACTGTATTTTGACGCGTGAATTCGAGCACTGTTCGATGCAACCACCACGTTATTCTTCTGCTGCTATGCTGCGGACTGCAACAGGGTGGCTGCTCGGCTGCCATTGCAGGAGGAGCATCAGCAGCATGGTAGCCAAGACGAGCTTCCCGGACCTCAACTCGGCTCACCACACCACGCCATCATCCTCGGTTTCGTCTGCATCGTCATCGTCATCGTCATCATCATCCGGCATTCAGGGTGACTCGGCGGGTGCTGAGCGAGCTGCGCTTGCTGATCTGCACCCCTTCCTCGTGCGTCGCCTGCAGTCGCTCGGCATCCACGCGCTGTCCGACGTCCAAGCCAAGGTCGGGCAGAAATAATAATTATTGCAGATGATGCTCTTTTTTTGTTGTTTTACTTTTTGTGTCTCGATTTTGCGCACTGAGGAGTGAGACTCACCTCCACCCGAAAATCACACTTTGCCATCCATACTGCTCCACAGACACTGCCAATGATGCGAGCGGGAAACGACATGATCGTCACGTCCCAGACAGGATCGGGAAAAACTCTTGCTTACTTGCTGCCATTGTTTGATCGGATGCTGCGAGAATCACACGTCCCGGAATCCGCCGCAACCCCGGACGCGGTTTGGGCTTCGTTGAACGCAACCCGACGCAAGAACGCTGCCGCAGGTGCAAAAGCCGCAATGCAGTCGCAGTCGCCCTTCCATCAGATGAACAAAACCGCATCTGTACTGATTCTAACGCCGTCGAGCGATCTCGCTGCCCAAATCAAGTTTGTTTGCGACAGCTTTTTCAAGCTGGAGCGGCAGGACTCGACAGCGGCCTCGTCACAAGTCACGGTGTTGTTTGGCACCACGGCACTGCACTTTCACCAGGCCGAGCCCCACACACATGTGATTGTCAGCTCGGTGGACAAACTGTTTGAGTTTTACCCCAGCTTCGAGGCTGCTCGCAGCGCCCTACTCCGATGGCAAACGCTCATAGTCGATGAGGCTGACACAGTGCTGGCCAATGCACACGTGTCCAAGTTTTTAGTCCATCTGCAGGTGCAGAACAAGCGGTGGGCAGCGCAACAACGGAAGATTGCGCTCGGCAAGATCCAACCACCGCCACAGCACCTCCTTCAACCCTCCCGCATCCAGCAGGTATTTGTGGGCGCCATTCCCACTACACCCGCGCTTGGAGAACGGTCCCCAGCGCTTCTTTCCTTGATGAAACAGACGTCACCGCTTCCTGTGGTCATCGGGCGAGGCGAGGCGGGTGCTTCCGCTGCCCCAGTTGTGCCCGCGACTAAAGGGGCTTTGTCCCCATCTGCTGTTTCTTCTGAAGATATCACGACCATCGCACACCCGAAAGTCTCGTTGGACGATGGCACACAAACCGTGGCGTCCTCCTCCTCTCATCCTGATCCTGCATCAACGCCGGCGCACGTCGGTATTCCCACCACCCTTTCCCACTTGCTTGTCCCTATCAGTAGCCTGGAGGTGGTCCGCGATATGCAGGCTCTAAACCAAGGCCCGGCAGCTGGCGAGGACGAGCTGGACGACGCGGCAGCATTACTGCAAGGCAGTAATCCGGATGCTACTGCTGCTGCTGCTGCTGACGAACGAAAGATGCGGTATATGGAACTCAATCGACCTCATTTAACGGCAACAATTGTTGGCATGATTTTGGCAAGGCAGCCAGTCTCTGCTACTTCGCTGGGCAAGCTGGCTCTGGTGGAGCAACCTCGTGACGAAGCAGGCGAGACAAGTGCGAGCACGGACAGCGCTACGACAGCAAATGACCCACCGGCGCCTTCTGCAGTTAGTGGCTCGAATCCCGATATTCTGGAATTCCCAGCAAAGCAGGATGCCCAGCCACAGCAGTCGCGCCGCCGACCACCGTGCGTCCTGGTCTTTACAGCGGATGCAGCACGGGCAGCGGCGGTGCACCTCCGACTGAAAAAGTTTGGCATTTCCGCCGAGCTGCTCTCCAGCCAGCGCGAGTTGGATGCGCGGGTGCTGACGACCGCGAGAGCATCGCAACACTTGGCCAAAGTGATTGTCGCCACGCCAATCGCCGGTCTAGGTCTGGACTTTGGGCAAGCCGTCACGCATGTCGTCAATCACGATGCGCCCAACTCTCGAGAAATGTACTTGCATCAAGCAGGGCGGACTGGCCGCGCCGGGCGCGCAGGTCAAGGTGAGGGGTTTGGAAGTTTTTGTTCTGTGATTTTGGAACGATCTGTGTGGAGAGCTGCCTTTGTCAGGTTTTTTGCTGTGTTCTGGTGATGCGCTCTCGATGAAGGTGTTGGAGAGTTCATGTTGAGACTGCTGGGATGAGATGAGCGTTCTTGTTCTTGATTTTTTGGCGGGAGATTTCGTTTTGCGCTTGATTCGTCCCTTGACTGACTCGTCCTTTCCTTTCCCCCCCCCTCCGCCCTCTTTGCTCCAGTGATTACGCTGTACGACAACACGACCACGTCGTCGCGCCGCCCAATCCGCCGCCTTGCTCGTATGTTGCAGTCGACATCCACCCTGCCCTGATTGCCGTTGTCTTTGAACAATACAACAAGATTTTTCCATCTCTTTTCTTCCTCGTTTTTGTTCTCGTTTTTTGTTTTTTCCCTTCCTTTCTTTCTTCCATCTTGTGATTGATTGCTTCGTTGTTTCTGTTGTTGTTGTTTCTGTTGCTTTTTGGTCATGACAAAAACCGCTGACCTTTGGAAAAAAACCAGTTTTTCGTCATTTGACGCTCATCGAAGTCACATTGCCGACCAATCAAAGCGCTCGAATCTGACAAAGCGTCATTTTTCGTGACTTTTTTTTTTATTATTATTATTATTATTATTCTTTTTTTTTTTTTATTCTTTATTCAGTCATTCTTTTTTTCTCTCTCTCTTTGCTCATCGCCGACTTTTTGTTCTTCGCTGCTGATTCATTTTGATAGCAATGACATTCTCATCATCACCTGCAGCAGCAACCGCAGCAGCAACCACCGCAGCAGCAGTGGAGCGGCGGCTCGCTCAATCCCTCGCTGCAAACGCCGACAATCGCACCGCTCTTGGTTCGTTCGCGATCGAGCTCTTCACGCGCCTCCAGCAGCAGCGCCAGTCGCTCCAGCGCGAGCAGCAGTACAAGCGCAGCAGCCAGTCACAGCCCCAGTCGCCGCCGTCGTCGTCGCCGCGGTGGTCCAGCCTCGCAGCAGCGGTTTCATCCTACCGCGACCCAGCTTCCACCGCGTTTTCGTCCACTTCAGCCACTTTGACCGCGCCTCCCTCGTCCGCCACAACAACAACAATCACCACCCACTTGTCTCCTCGTCCTCGTCGTCGTCGGATGCCGCGGCTGTGGCTGCGTCAGCTGCGCTCGCTGCGCTGCCATTGGGCGTCTTCCCGCCAGAGCTCGTCCTCACGTTTGTCCTGCGCGTGCTCCAGGCCTCCGTCTCGCTGACGGCCACAGAGTCGCCTCTCCTGCGCCCTGCAGATATTGCCGCGTCGTCGGACGCGCTGCTGGACGCGGACTTGGCGGTGGACACGTCGTCACTGGCGCCGGTGCATTACATTTTTGGCTATGGTTCGCTCATCAACGCCAGCTCGCGGTCGCGCACTGGGCAGACCGGCGACGCAATCGCAGTGCGCGTCTCGGGCCTCGTGCGTGCGTGGAATGTCGCCTGCCCCCACTCGGGCATGACTGCGGTCGGCGTCTTGCCTCAGGCCGGAGCCACTTGCAACGGCGTTCTTGTTCCGGTGGTTACGCCCGAAGTCGATCTGCCAAAGTTTGACAAGCGCGAACGCTACTACCGCCGCGTGTCCATCCCGCTCGATGCCATCACTGTGTATTCCGGCGACTCGGTCCGCGCACACGTTGCGCCCGCAGCCTATGTATGGACGTACATGGTGCTCGAGCCTCAGGCGCCCAGCCAGAGCTTCCCGATTGCCCAGACCTACCTCGACATCATCCTCTCTGGCTGCTTGTCGTTCAGCCGTGCGTTTGCTGAGGAGTTTATCGTCTCGACCAATGGCTGGGCCACCGAGTGGATTAACGAGCGCCAGTCTCCTCGCTACTCGCGCGCTGCCTGCGAGAGCCGTCCCGATGCGGAAATCTTGGACAATCTCCTCCAGGAAACGCTGGCCAGCTACTTTGCTCGACGCACCGCCTTGGCCGTCTCCGACTCGTACTGACGCAACCCAGAACAAAAACGAACAAATCAAAAACGCCAAATCAAAAAAATGTTAATGCCGGTTCCTCCGTTTCTTTTTGTGCAGCTTGTTAAGATTAAATTATTGAGAAACTTAGACATCCCCCCTTCTTCAAAGTACCACACATGTATTGTTCCCAAAAAAAATGATTAACATAAAAGAACCGATGAGAAAGAGGGGCAGCAAAAAATCATTGTGCCATGCTGCCGTCATCATTCTCGCCACTCTGGCCATTCTCGGCACTGAATCGAGCTATCAAGTTATTGTTGTTAATTTCGCCGAGTAGCTCTTGGATATGCACAAGCATAGGCTCGTCGTCGCATTGGGTCTGGGCGTGCATCTGCAAAAAACCGAACAGAAATTGGTACCAGCGTTTCCCACCGCACCGCGCGTATTCAAACGACGACGACGACAACAACAACAACAACAACCACAAAGAAGCTAGCCCGCTTACTCGCTGTGCCGTGTCAAGGCACTCGAAGGCCGCAGCATAATCCGAAGTAATAAAGTAGAGCCAGCCAAACATGTACCACACTTGCACAACTTCGTCGTCTTCGCGCATCAATTGGCCGAGGACATAGGATGCGTCCTCGTACTGCTCTAGCTCGATGAGCAACTTGGCCGTGTTGATTCGGAAATCATACGGCGGCAAGTCCTGGTCATCCATAACATCCTCGCCGTCTAGCATCGGGTCGACTACCTGTCGCAAATCAGCGACCTCCGGGTCCATATCGTCCTCCAAGTCTTCGTTTGGATTGATGCGGTATGTGTCTGTGGTGCGTTCCAACAAGGCCGATCAGTGAGAGAGCGGTGGCTCGTGGACAAAGCATAAAAGCAGGAAAAACCTAAAAAAAAAAAAACAGTAAACCCCTCCCTTCATTTCTCCTCTCGGCCAACCCCTAGACCACCTAGATTCAACACGAGAACAGCGCTATCTTACCGTATCCAGCGCGTCGGCGATGCCACAGTGCCAAACTGTCGCGGAGAAGAGCCAATGCGCGCTCGGGGTTTTGTTTGCTGATTTGGTAGCTGGCAAACGTTTGAATGGCCTCGGCATTGGTCGGATCCTCTGCAATTGCGGCCTCCAACAGAGTTCCGCAGAGCTCTTCTGCGTTGTCTTCGTGGCTGTTTTTTGTTGGCAATATCAAGTGAGATTGACAAAATCAATCCAAAGCATGACTTCTCTCAACCGTAACGCAAACTCCATCTTTCTTTCCCCCTCCCCCGCAACCCCCACCCCACGCCCCAATCCAAGCAGTACAAGAACGCACCAAAGATCCGTCAGGTAGAGCTCAGCCGTCGAGGCCAGCGCAGTGGAGATGCGACGCGTAAACTCGGCCGGGTCCTCGCCCATCTGGATGGCTTGCTCGCGCTCCTGCTTGAGCAGCACGGTGCCAGTCTCGAACGACGCTGCGGCCTCCTTGCCAGACTGCATCTGCCCGAGATACATGAACTTGTCAGCGCCCGAGGTTGGCTCGAGAGCGCACGCGCGCTTGAAGCACTCGAACGCGGGCTCCGGGTTGCCCAGCTCGAGGTGGATGACGCCCATTGCCTCGATGGCGCGCAGGTTGTCTGGATCGCGCTGCAGCACGCGCATGCACGTCTGCGCTGCGGTTGCAAAGTCGAGTCCGTCCATGAGCATCTCCACGCGGTTGAGGATGGCTTCCGTCGAGTTGGCTGCAGCACTCGCCCGAGCGCGCTCGCCCGTCGCACCGCCAGCAGCAGCGGCGGCCTGTTGGTGCCTGCCGACGCCAGACGACGGGCGCGGGTTGCTGGACGCGGCACTCCTCGCAGCGGCAGCAGCAGCAGCAGCAGGATTGGACGCTGATCCCACATGGACAGCCCCGGCAGGTCGCTTTCCCTTCGATTTGACCATTTGTGTGGTTGGTAGAGATTCAGAACGCGTTTCAACAAAGGAAAGTTTTTGGAGGACTTGGAGGAGGGAAGGAGAAAGAAGAAGAGAGGGGGAAAAACAAAAAACAAAAAAAGAGACTGAGAGACTGAGAGACTGAGAGACTGAGACTGAGACTGAGACAGACTGAAGGTCATATCAAAACTTTGTGTACTCTAGGATCGAGCTGTTTGAGCCAAGTGAAATGGATTTGGATGTGGCTCAGTCTTTGAGGTTTGAGCAAAATGTTGCTTTCGGCTGGCATTGCATTGAATCGCGGGAATCGCCGTGCGTGGACGACTCTTGCTCGCAAAGTGCACTCGAAAGGGTCGATCAGCCCCATTGCACCAGGAGCAGCAGCAGCCGCAGCAGCAGCAGCACTCCAGCAGCAGCAGCAGCAGCAGGGCAACCGGGCGCCCGGAATACTGTTTGACATTGACGGCGTGCTGATTCGAGGCAACACGGTGCTGAACGAAGCCAAGGAGGCCTTCCAGATGCTATCCAAGCGGCACTTGTAAGTCAAAGACGAGTCAAAGAAAACTAATAGCGATCGGACTTGGGGTGGGGGATTGGATGCAACCGTTATACGCAAACAGGCTCAAATTCGCGTCGTTTGTGTGTGTATTGTTGGTGCTAAATACTCGCCATACAACCATCAATGACAGACTCAAGAATATCCCATACATGTTCGTGACCAATGGCGGAGGCACAACTGAGGCACACAAGGCGCATCAGCTCTCGAAATGGCTGCATGTTCCGGTAAACAATGACTTGACACAAACCTCCGATTCTCAGAAGAACAGACGTCTTGAGAGCTCTGCCCTGTGTCGCACTGAAAATGGCTTTGTCAAAGTGATTTTTGATGCCTAGGAGGAGGTTGTTTGCTCACTTTGTGTGTCATCTCTGTGTTGTTTTTTTGTTTGGTGTTTGTTTTGTTTTGTTTTGTAAACCTAGGTTTCGGAAAAGCAAGTTGTGCTTTCACACACGCCATTGCGAATGTACGAGCAGTACTTTAACAAGACCGTTTTGCTGATTGGACAAGGCCCTCTGAAGGAAATTGCAGCGTCGTACGTTCGCTCACAGCACCTGTTTTGTGCATCGAAACTGGCGCGTTTCTCTCTCATTCATTCTTTGACACGTTCCGGACAGATATGGCTTTCAGAAGACCTTGGACCTTGATGACATGAGAAAGGCGTTTCCGTTGATGGACATTGTCAATATGAAGGTGCGGAAGCAGCTCAAGTCGCATCCGCCAACGCCAATTCCCGTGCCACCGGTGGAAGGTAATGCCCTTTTTCGTTCTTTTGTTTTTCTTTGGCTTTGCTGCATATTCTCGAAACACTCGTGTTTGCAATACCCCTCATTGAATGCACCCAATGGATCAACCTGCCCTCTTGCAAATAGCCATCTTTGTCATGCACGACCCGTTGGAGTGGGAGTCTTGCCTTCAGGTCTTGATTGACTTGCTCATCTCGAAAGACGGCGTTCCAGGAACGCTGGACTCGAAGCAGCACATTCCCATCATCTTTTCCAACGCTGACTTTTTGTGGATGGCGGAGCATCCGCAGCCGCGATTTGGCCAAGGCGCGTTCAGACTCTGCTTGGAGGCACTGTACAAGGTACTTGTTTTTTTTCCAGGCTCTTTGGCGCATCAACGTTGAATTTCGAATGCAGATCTTGCAGCACTGACCAAACAAATTCTGTCATGCTCGAATTTTTTTGCGCAGGAACTCACCGGCAGGGATCTACTGTACACGCAGCTGGGCAAGCCGTTTGGAGTGACGTACGACTATGCAGAAAAGCTGCTGAATGAGCAGGCCCAGAAGCTTGGCTACGATGGTCTGAGTTACTTTTACATGGTGGGCGACAATCCGCGTTCGGACGTTCGCGGTGCCAATAGCCGGCAGAATGGCCGCTCCGTGCTTGTGCGCACGGGTGTGTTTTCGCCGCATCTCGACAATGATCCCAGCGATCCAGCCCACTTTGTGGTTCCGCACGTGCGCGATGCCGTGCAGCTCGTGATGCGTCATTTTGACGATGGCTTGCACCACCATGGTGGCTCGGACGAGCTTCACGCCCACTTTGTCCAAAAGTCTCGCACGCGAAGTGAAAAATAAACGAGTCAAGGTTTTTTGCAACATGGCGATTTTACAAATAAATTAATTCGGCAAACAATAACGCAATTGAGCACACTACATTGTATTCTAATCGTCTTCGTCGTCAGTGTCTGGTGCTCTCCTCTTGGAAGAGGCTCGGGACGTGCTTGCCTTGGAGGAACTCGCGTTGGACGCGCTCGCTCGAGACGAGCTCGCCTGGGATGAGCTCAAAGTGGCGGCTGCGGTCTCGGTGCCTTCCTGGGCAGTGCGCGTCGGAATCATCGACTCGCGGATGTCGAAAGCCTCGATCAAATCCTGAGGCCAAAACAGAACACGAGAAGGGGGGGCTACAATTGAGCGTCCAACGTTTTAACACACACCCAAAGATGCAGTTGCACTCAGACATACCTTCCACGTTTTCATGTTCAGAGAAAACAAGAATTGCCCGCTACTATTATCGGTACCGTTGGTAGCCGCATCCTCATCCAACGCACCAGCAGCCGCTGCGTAGCATCCAAATCAGTGCAGAAAAGGTCGGGGTCAAATGAGCGCGAGGAGATGGGCCAAGCGACTTGCTGCCTCAAAAAAATGGGGGGGGGAGCATCACGTACCAACCATCGGCATCGAGGTCGCTTCATCAAAGAACACTTCCACATGCCCATCGCGAACCAGGAAGGCGAGGTAGAATAGATTTTCAACAGACTGAGAAAACGACGCTGGATTCAACACAAACTTGAAGACGTTCACTTCTTCCAGTCCCCGCAAAATAGCCAAAAGTTCGCGCGAGCGGATGTCTGTTTCCTCGGACTTGACCAATGAAGTTGAATCGACCTGCCAAAAAAAAAAGAAAACCAACCAAGTGAGAATGTCTTTCTTCAGGTGGCCAGAACTTTTCTGTCTGTCCCTTGTCAGCAAACTCGCGCCGCTTTCAATACGCACCACTTTGGTTGTGTGTGGCTTCTCGTCAGGATCGCGGCTCGCACGAGCTCGATTGATGACTTTGCGAACGGGCGGAATGATCGACAGCGGGCCATGGAGCACACGCATGGCAGGGACGCGACGGAAAACAGGTGCGGCTGCAGAGCCGAGCCGAGTCCAGTCGAGTGTGTTGGCATTGGATTGCTGCGAGGGCACATCGTCATCATCATCGTCATCGCCGCCGCCGGCAGCATTGACATGGAACGAGCCTTGAGGGCTCATGAAAGTGACAACCTTGGCGAGAAAGTCTCCCTCGGTCAGCCTCCGCGTCAGGCCAGTGGGCAGGTTTCTGCTGATGGCGCGCGATGATCGGACGACAGCGCAGATCGCCTCCGCCTCCATGATGGCCTCGGCTGGCTGGTGGATTCTGGAGGACACAGAGTCGGGATTGGAGAGATCCAGCTCATCGAGGAACTGGCGCACTTGCTGGGCCGCTTCAAGCGTCGAGACACTTGAGCTGTCGCTCGTCGACTCTGGTATTCCAACCGCACATCGTACAAAGGGCAGAGCAAACGCAGAAGAGAAGGATGAGGTTGAGCGGAAATGAATAAAAAAAACACACATTGTGCGCTCTGCAGAGATGCGGCTGAAAACCAAGTGGAAGGCCGAGTCTGTGTGTGTAGGCGCATGTGTGTACACTGAGCATTGCAGTGTTTTTCCTCGTCTGGACAGTCCGCCTTCCAACCAAGCCAATCGTGCAGGCCAAATCAAGAAAGGCGAAAAAGCGCCAAAAAAAAAACCGCGCTTCAGTTTTGGCGCGAAAACCAAAAAACCACCAAGCAACACGCCTAAACCAAAACGCCCGCTGTTGACGTTGTACATGGATGGTGGTTGGGTGTGTGTTTGTGTGTGTGTGTGTGTGTGTGTATGTGTATGTGTGTGGATGGGTGATGGTCGGTGCTGCACCTCCACCCCCAATGCAAATCCACACTCCATCTTGCTCTCGGCACGTACGTTCCATGTCGAGAGCTCTGCGATTGTATGCACGCAGCGACTGCTGCAACTTGGCAGCCTCTTCAGGATCCTGATTCGGGTCGTACTGCGACGGGCGGCTGGATTGCACCTGGGTCATGGTGTGAAATGAAGACTGGTTCCAAAGCGCTTAGAATCATGAACACGAAAACGGCAACCATCAAAGATTTATGTATTGTATTGATGTGTACATAGGATGAGAACAGTCTGATCATAACACTGGCGCATCTCGCACAAACGGCGCATCAGGCCTCCACCGAGTCCCTGGCTGCCAGCGTGCGCGTCGATCCCCCGAGTCGAACACATCAATCCATAACTCAGACAGTCGAGCAACGCCTGAAATCAAAAAGGTCAAACAGGTCAAAAAGGTTCAAAAAGGTTCAAAAAGGATCAAAAAAGGTTCAAAAAGGTTCAAAAACGAGAAAAAGCCAGCTCAGACGCTTCGACAAGCGCAACTCGGCCCCTCAAACAACCAACCCACCGCCAACAAGATGCTGCTGGTCGTGCGTTTGCACAAAATCCAACCCCACTGCAAGGCAACCGAACGGACGCAGCTCGAAGGCCAAAAATCACGAAAAAAGCCAACCACACAAAAATAAAGCCCCCAAGCAAAGCGATACGCAAACAAGACCTAGACAAACAAACCCGAAAACATAGGAATCAGAGTCTCTGATGGATGGAGGGAAAGGCAGATATGGAGAGTAGTCTGAATTGAGTTTTGCCGACCCCAAAAGAGTCGACACTCCCTGCATTGCACTTAGGTCTCCCGCAGCAAGTGAGCCCGTTCCAACTAGCAATATAGAGTACCAAGCGTCTCGAAACGCGTTGGATGCTAAAGGTTTCTGGTGACCCACGTCCATCGCCGGTTTGCTGGCAGCAACGCCAGTTCTGACGAGGATGCGCCCTCACGGGCATTTGGTTGACTGCTGTGTCTCAGACCTTCCCCGGGGTTTGGTTGTGAACATCCAAATGTCTCGCACCCTCGTTCGAAAACGAGTCGCGATCGTACGTGTTCCCCGAAGCTGGGACATTCCACCTGCCTTTTTGATTTCTCCATCAAAAGAGCGCTGATGTTGTTTTCTTTGGTTTGGTTTGCACTTTGGTCTTTTTTGGTATTCTTTGTTGGGTTTTTTGTGGGTTGACTTTAACGCTAGAATGACATCCAAGTGTTCGCATTCGTTCGCCAACAAGCAGCAACGAGTTTGATCTTGTGGTTGTTTCAGAGGCGCGAGCCACACACTTTCAAAGAATCGAACGGCTTTCCCCACCCAAGCACAAGGCCATCAAAGAACGCGCGCAGCTACAGGTGTGCGCGCGCCCTTGTGCCATCGGACGCTCGCAACGCGGTGACGATGGGGAAGGTGGCCAGCGATGCGTGAGCTTCCCGCCCAATTCCGTCATCTTTCAACCTGTCATTTTGGGACGAGAATTCTCCGAGTTTTTCAGGGGTTTTTTTTCTCTTGTCTTGCATTAATTTATTCCATGGCACGCGTTGTATTTTTATGGTTGGATTGAATGCTGGATTGAATGACGGAAATCGAACAGCAACAAACATGCACAAGAAACCAAAAAGAGCGGCAACTCCAAAAATCACTCCATTTTCATACAACAAAGATGGATTCCTTCATTGGACTGCTCCAAGTAACGTGTTTGAACCCACCACCCGCTCTATTTGTTGATTCCATGCTTGCACTTTGCGTCGTGCGCTTATTCCGCTGGGCAGTGAAGAAGAAGGGCGAACCTCATGCTTTGGTCGTTCCCGCGCGCGTCAGCTTTTTGCCCTCTTCTCCATTTCCCACTTTGCTGCACCTCCTTCCACCGAGTCAGGGGGGGGGCTTTTTGAGTGTATTCGTTATGCTATCCTGTGGTCTTCGTTCCCTCCCCAACTCTCTCTCTCCGTCTCCCTCTCTCCGTCCTTCTCCCTCTTGCGTTTCTCACAGCGCTGCGAAATGGGGTGACTTGAGCCACGCGCTGCCACGTTCGCTTCCGTTCTTCCCATTCTCGCCCCTCTCCCTCTCTCGCTCTCTCCCTCTCTCTCTCGCTCCCTCTCCCCCTTTTCGACGGCATTCTCACACCTCGCTACGGTGCTCCCACTCAAAACCACACTCCACCATCGCTTACAGTTTGTTACCTCGCTCGGAACTCGCTCGATTTTTTTTTTTTTTTTTTTGTTTGTTGGGGTTCGGCTTATTTTCCATTCTGCTTTCTCGCGCTTCTTTCTCACTTCACTTCACTTCACTTCACATGTCATGCTCGGTCATCGCCGGTCAAAATGAGCCCTTTGAACACAGCTGCAGCAGTTGGGGGCGGGAAAGTCAAACCCAATGCTCACTCAACTTTACACTGTGTACAGTCAAACTCGAGCTACATTCTGGCGGTCGCAGCAATCGCCTTCACCTGGATGGTGGCCCAGAAGATGGGCGGCGGTGGTGCGCCTGGATCTGGCAACTCGCGTGGAGCGGCCGCCTCGTGCCCGTTCGTGAACAGCGGCGCTGCTGCTGCTTCTTCCACTTCCACTGCCACGGCGACCAACACGGAAGTCGCCTCGGCCGCGGCTGGCCAGGCGCCCCCAAAGCTGAGCCCTGGACATCCCCGTGTGACTGCTGAAGGCCGACTGATTGCCCTCGACCCGGAGAACAAGATTGCCTTCAAGCTCGTCAAGAAGGAGCACATTAGCCACGACACACGCCGTTTCCGCTTTGCGCTGCAGTCGCCCGAGCACGTCCTGGGGCTGCCGATTGGCAAGCACATGAACCTGAGCGCCAACATTGGCGACCAGCTCGTCGTTCGCCCGTACACGCCAACCTCGTCGGACGACGACCTCGGCTACTTTGAGCTCGTGGTCAAGGTTTACTTTAAGAACGTGCACCCCAAGTTCCCGGAAGGCGGCAAGATGTCGCAGTACCTCGAGGGCCTGCGCATCGGCGATACCGTTGATGTGATTGGACCCAAGGGCCGCATCACCTACCAGGGCAACGGCCGTCTCTCGGTCTGCGAAATTAACAAGCCCGAGGCGTTCCGCCAGGCCAAGCATTTCGGTCTGATTGCTGGCGGCACGGGCATCACCCCCATGCTCCAGGTTATTGCTGCCGTCCTCAAAAACCCCAAGGACACGACCACATTGTCACTGCTGTTTGCCAACCAGACCGAGAACGACATTCTCGTGCGCGACATGCTTGAACAGTACGCCCGCGACCACCCGACCCGCTTCAAGGTCTGGTACACGCTCGACAAGGCCCCCGCCGGCTGGAAGTTCTCTGAGGGCTTTATCAACGCCGACATGATTGCCGAGCATCTCCCCGCAGCCACCCCCGACGCTCAAATTCTCATGTGCGGACCTCCGCCCATGATCAACTTTGCCTGCATTCCCAATCTCGAGAAGCTTGGTTTCACTGCCGAGCAGTTCCTCAAGTTTTAAAAAACAATGTCCTGTACAATTTGACAATTTGAGTGTTTTTGTTGGTAACGCGATTCATAGAAAAAATAAACTGCGTGAGCTTTGACTGAGAGTGCATGTGCGAACAGCATTGCGATGTATTTCCCAGAGCCGGAGCAAGTTGTGGAGCTGATCGAAAGCAGAAATGATCTATTTCGCTGTGTCGGTTTTTTTTTTTTTTTTTTCCCTCCGCTGTTTGTTCTCGACAACGAATACGATAAGCATTGTTCTTTTTTGCAAACTATTGGTGCTATCGTGGCGAGCTCGTCCTTGCATCGTGGTCAAGCGCGTGACATCATTCTCTCGCTTTGGTCGTCGGCCGATGACAACAAATGTCTACTTTCACTCGTACCAAATCCAGAGCCTTTTCACCACCGAGTTCTGCGCACCACTCGGTTTCTTTACTCTATTGTGAGTGGTGGTGGTGGTGGTTGGCGATGTAGCAGCAGCATGATGTCTTATTGCCTCGTTGTCTTCTTCTTTTTTGGGGAGGATTTTCGCCGTTTCAGTCTCACTTTTTGTTCGCTGCTTTTTTTCTTTTTCTATTTTGTTTTATTTTTCGTATTTTTTTCAAGCCACTAGTTTTTCTTCTTCCATGGACGCCTCGAATCGAGACATGCAATCAACGCTGTGCGCGAACGGCTGCGGCTTCTTCGGCAACGCCAACTTTAACAACATGTGCTCCAAGTGCTTCAAGGAGCAGCAGAGCAAAGCACAGGCACAGGCAGCGCCCCTCAAGCCACTAGCACAAAGCGGTGAGTCGATTTTTCCTTCTTCTTCTTCTTTTCCTCTTTTTTTTTTTTTTCCTTCTTATCCTGTTGGCGTTGTTTGGCGCGAGTCGTGTGTTTTGCGGGCTCCCAGCGAGAGGGTGTAGAGGCGCGATTGTGGCTCTCGCGCACGCCTGCGCATCCCCGCACGCAACCCCCCGAGGCCTGCACGCCCTTTGCATCCACGGTAGCATTGTCATGAGGGGCTGCCCGCAAAAAAAAAAAAAAAAAAAAAAAAAAAAAGGCGTTTTTAAGCAATGATTGCCCTTGTTGTTTTGGAGAGAGCGTTGTGCCCTCCCTGCCATCCGCCGCTAGCCTTGCTTCTGCTTGTTGTGCAAGATGAGTGTCTTTCATCTTGTAGCGCTGAGGAGCAGCCACACCTCCAGCAACCAAACGAAAACAGCAAGAAAAAAAAAAGGGTCGGCTGCTTTTTTTTTTTTTTTTTTTTTTTTTGGGCGCACCGCGTCATCTGTTCTGGCTGTTCAGCCGAGTCGATGCTGTTGGTGCTTCCGCGTTGCCATTTCCCCTTGCGTCTCCACACTCGCTGGGTCGTCATTCCACACCCTCTCGTCGTCCATCATCGTCTCCCCCGCGCTCTCTCTTTTTGCTTGCCTTGCTTTGCTTGCCCGCCTTCTCTCTTTTTCTGGCTTTTTGGACTTTTTTTTTTTTTTTCTTTTTTTTTTCGACTTTTTTTTTTTTTTTTTTTGTTTCCAAACCGCTGATGACGCGACACTCGGTTGTTGCTCTGGTCGACCGTCCCCGCTCAACACTCCCACACACACCCCCGATGCTCCCAAATGTGGAGACATTCAAGTTGTACTTTTGCAGTGCGCGCGGGGCGTGTTTGTTCCGTATTCGCTCCTTTGTTTGCTCGCTCCTTCGTTTGTGGTTTTGTTCCAGTTCTCAATGAGGCTCACCTCCGTCTGTTACCTCTTCTCCCCCTCCCTTGTTTTTTTGTTTTGTTTTTTTTTCTTTGGCTTGGCTTTCTATCTGTACAGCACCAATGGCAATCCCTGGTGCCCGTGTCTCTAGCATGTCCGTGTCTCCGGCGTCGAACGCCTCGCCAATGTCACAATCGCCTCTTTCAACGAGCCCAAACACGGCCATGATGAACATGTTGTCGACCTCGGCCCCCGCAGGAAGCAGCAATATGGATATGTTGTCGTCGTCGCCCTCCAAGAGCTCTAATCGGTGCCTCGAATGCTCGAAACGCGTTGGTCTGGCTGGATTTAAGTGCCGGTGTGGAGGCCTATTTTGTGGTCTCCACCGCTATTCGGACAAACACAACTGTAATTTCGACTACAAGACTGCAGGTCGTGAAATGATTGCCAAGGACAACCCAGTCGTCGTCAAGGACAAGATTGAGCGCATTTAAACGTTGTTTCTTTTCTTTTCTTTTGCTTTGTTTTTTTTTTTTAATTCTTTCATTTCTGTTCATGCGCTTGTTCGTTACTGGGGTTTCTGATATTTGTGTTCGTTCTGGCTGTTCTTCCTTCGGTACCGTTTCGGCCAATATGTGGCCAACTGTCTCTGTAGGCGTTGATTTTCGGTCGTGTTCGTGCGCGCTGTGCAGTGGGTGTTTGCTGTTTGTTTGTTCCTGGTTTTTTTTTTGGGGGGGGGGGTGCTTGATTCCTGCTTGGTGTACTTGTTTCCTGCGTTTGTCTCGGCTGCGTTGTAAAGTTTCAATGAAAGCTAGTGCTTTTTTCACTTGTGTGCGGACTGATGTGTTTGAGTGCACCGTCCTCCTATCTCCCTTGGCCATCCATTCGAGTTTGTCATGGCACTTACTCGCTTGATTCAGCACCGGCTTGATTCAGCACCAGCACGATCACAAAACAGGTTGGGAATGCGGATGCAACGAATCTACATCTTCAACTAGCCACGCCCGAAGGACAAATCGCAAGCAGCAACAAAAGAAAGTGTAATTAGGGCAACAGGTGCACACAATCACAACAGCAGGGTCAAAATCGAAGGGGGGGGGTCATTAACAAGTTCGTGGTGTCCAAGTCCACCATCAAAAAGACAAAAAAAAAAACAAGCGCAAAACAAACCAACAAAAAAAGCATTATCAGGAAACCAACATTTGATCAAAGATCAAAAGCAAGGTAATGTGCTGCTGCAGCACACAATCAAAAAAGTAACAAAACACAGGCCTTAGAAAAGCAAAACAAGAAGAAAAAAAAAACAAGGAAACTAAAACCACATCGTCATCTCGACGTTCGGCTTCGTCCTCGAGGTCAACAACCTACTTAACGGCCCGCTCGGAGGGGATTGGAAAAGTCACCATCGTCGCTGGCGTGGGAGAGCGGGTTGTCGCCGTGGGAAGAAAATGCTTGAACGTTGCCGCCTTTCGCCATGAGATCGCTGGCCGAAATGATGCCACCCGAAGAGGGGCCAGCACCGTCGGGGCGACGCTTCTTGGCCGTGAGGGTGGCAGAACGCGCCAGGGGGTTGGAGAAGTCGGATTCCTCCTCGGTCATGTAGAGAGGGTTTTCAATCTGCATGAGCTCCTTGTCCGTCAAGCGGCTCAAATCAACGTCCTCGCGCATCACGACAGTGCTCGGGCGCGCCGTCGTCGTGCGCTTTGTGGCGGCGATCGAGAGCGCGGTGGCGGCAGAGAGCGTGCTGTTGTTGTACACGTGCTGACCAGCGGAGGCGTCCACGCTGGCGGCGCTCATCGGGTTCAATGGGTTGTTAAAGGTGCCAGCCGAGTGGTGGTCGGCAAGCGGGTTGTCGAACGCCGCGCCTTCGACATCGGCCATGGGGTTGCCAACGCCTTGCTTCATGCGGCGAGTCATCAGCTCAAACTCTTGCTTCTGGGCGTAGTTGTAGGAAATCTTGGCTTGCGTGCTACGCTTGCGGCGCCAGATGACAAACAGGATGATGACCACAATCAGGGCCAAGAGGGCGAGACCGACAGCAATGCCAATGTTTCGGGAGGTGGCAGCCGAGTTCGAGGCAGCCGTCGGGACGCAGACCAGGTGGTTGGTCGATTCGTCGCGCGATGTTTCGTAGCCCTCGGGGCAGGACAGGGTGTCAGGGGTCACGCAAACGTACTGGCCTGAGTACAAGTTGGTGTTGGGCACGGCAACGGGCAGACAAAGCCTGGTCGTGGAGCAATCCAGCGAGCCCGCCTGGCCACTGTCGCAGGGGTTGGGGCGCTTTGCACACGCTTGGCGGTTGCGCTGGAGCACGGGATCGTAAATAGTCGTTTCAATGTAGCCAGTGCCGCAACCACCACACGAGTACTTGTTATCGCCGAGGTAGAGGGTGTTTCCGCTTCCATCCAGCGTGAATGCCGGGAAGCACTCGCGGTTTTGGGCCGCACAGGCGCTGTAGCCGGCGGATGGCACACGGCAAGGGTTGGGGATGAGCACGCAGGCGAGGCGGTTGGGCGTAAGTGTGTAGCCAGGCTGGCACTGCGCGTCGTTGCCGCAAGTGTACGCGCCAGTGTACAGAGGGAAGAGCGAGCCAGCAGAGTCCGGCGTGACCGCAGGCACGCAAGTCGTGTAGCCAAGACCGGTGCAGTTATCGGCGCCATAGTTGCCAGTGCTGCACGGGTTGATGACGACCTGGCAGTACAGCTGCGAGTTGCCAGCATCCGTGATGGCGACAAAGCCAGGCGGGCAAGTGTCGCCGCACGACGCTTTGCCGGTGAAGAGCGCCTCGTGCACACCGTCGCCGATGGTGATAATCTCGGGAATGCACGTCAGGCCGCGCCCGCCATCCGCTTGACGACAGGTGACGGACGCTTCAGATTCGAACGATGCACACGGGTTGTCAATCTTTCGGCACTCGCCGCTGGCGCGATAGAATCCAGGACGGCAGGTCGAGCACTGGTAGCCACCAGTGTACATGCCTGCAGAAAGCGTCTCGGGGATGCATTCGAGGTTGCCCTGGTTGACCACGCAGTCGCGGTAGCCCGCATAGCCGGGAAGGCAAGGGTTGAAGGTGCGCTGGCAGGTGAAGCCATCGCCCATAAAGCCAGTCTCGCACAGGCATGTAAAGTTGCCGGCAGAAATCTTGGTGCACTTGCCGTACAGATGGCAGTTGCCATTGTTGAGGAAGTCGTCCGTTCCGTTGGTGATTTGCGGCGAGCAGTCGATGGTGACCTGCGTGGACGAGATGCTGTAGCCGCCGTAAGGGTCGGTGACTTGCAGCGTGATGGTAAACACGCCAGGGAAGTGGAACTGGTGGTAGACTTCCGACTTGCCCGCAGCGCCCTTGGTGCAGTCGCCAAACAACCACGAGTACTGGAGATTCGTGCCAGACACGTCGTATGCCTCCGCCTGGAACTGGAAGTTGGTGCCCACGGCAACTTGGCCGTTGTACGGCACAAGCGTAGAACCGTCGCGCACGTACGACAGAATGTTCGAGATGACCGGGTTGGTGTTGAGCACACGCACCTTCATCTCGGTCGACACTTGGAATGTCGGGTTGCTGCCGCCCTTCAGCGTGTTTTCGATAAAAACGCGGATCGTGTACGACGCGTCGGTGCCGGCCGCGACAGAGTTTGGCACAGCGTAGACCTTGTCGACCTTGGTGTTGTTGATGATGCCCGTGTGTGTGCCGTCGCCAAACGTCCAAGAGTACGTGAGGAGCATGTTAGCCGGGACGTTGGTGACGGAGACGGTCTGAGTTGTGCCAGTGTGGTCGGGGCAGTGTGAGACACAGTTACTAAACGATTTCCAAAACAACGGGGGAAAAACCAATCCCATTGCTTTTTCTTACCCAGGTGTTTGAATCGCCCTCGTTCACATTGACCGGGCCTGAGATGGTCGCGACGGAGACGAGTCCAGCGACAAGCTGAGCGGCCGACAGAGCGAGCAAAGCAACGCTCAGGCACACAATCCAGCTGTTGCGAATCATGGTTTTTTGTTTTCGGTTTTGTGCCTCTCGTTTGGCTTCAGTGAGATTACTTTGAGACCAGAGGTGTGTTGTTGTTCTGTTTGGATGAAGGTTGTTCTGTTTGTACTTGAATCTGTTTGTGAAACAACAACAAAAAAAAAAAAAAAGCGATGAGTTTTGGTTTTAAAAAAAAAAAGCAATCAAAAAAAAAAAAAAAAAAAAGCTAACGCGAGTCGACTTCACCGCTGCTTTTTTTTGGGGGGGGGTCAGTTTGCTGACACGCGTGCAACTGAACAACAGTTCAATGCCGAGAGCGGGAGAGTGTGCGGCGGGGGGGTGAAAGACTGGGAGGCAGATAAAACCCAGCTGGGATGGAATGAAAAATAAACACTTAATTGATTGCGGGGGTTTCGCTTATTGAATGCAACGTTAAAATGCAATAATCCTACGAAAAGTTCACTGTGGGATATAAGAAAAGAGTGGCGGATTCACCCTTTTCCCTCGTGCCTTCTTTGCATTGGATGTTTGATTGTCTCTCGCTGTGCTCTGCCCGCCTCGGAGCTCGCTGCACGCCGACTTGTAACGTCGTTCTTGTTTTTGTCGAGCACGTCTCTGTCCAGCTGGGCGGCGACGACTGGCGGTTGAAAAGGGGTCAAAGAACAAACACCGCAATCCCAAAAAAAGCGAAAAAAAAAAAAAAAAAAAAAAGGAGGGCTGCGGAACCCGCAAAGCGCCGTTCGCTGTATGCATCTGTATGGGTGGAGGGGGGTGTAAAAAGAGAGAGGGGGTGATAGAGGACGAGGTGGGTCACGAGGGTGGTGGTTGGGGGGTGACAAGCGCGACGGAGACCAAGCTGAGCCAGTCAAAGGAGAAAAGAAAAAAAAAGAAAAAAAAAGGATCGACTCACATTGAAAATGAAAAAAAAAAAAGGAAAAAAAAAAGAAAAAAAAAGAGTGCCCTTGCATTGAAGCAACACTTAGAGCAAATCAGTGGACATTGACGAGTTGACGAGTGGATGGCAAGCACAAGCACAGATGCATGCTTCATTCACATATTGCTTTTCGTTGAAATTGACACGGGTGCGACTCACGGGCGACCGAAAATCGGCCGAATTCTGCCAACCTGAGCTTCAACGTGCTCGCGTTCGATGAGGAGCCTGTGTGCTGGTACCGGTGCAACAAAAAAAGAATGTCCGTATTGATATTCATCTGACGAGGGCAGGTGGGCTTGCCTAACTCTATGTATGCATTTTGGTGGAATCAGTACGTGCTCTGTCAACCATTGGTTTGAAGTCGGCAGTTACTCGCCAAAATCTGCTTTTTGCAAATCGCCATCCAGGACGGAGTAACGTAAACTTTGACTTCACTAATATACTTTCACATCATCGCTACTACATGACATGAAAAAATCCGCGCATTAACTCTTGCCAATTCACTGCAGGAGTCGTTCAAAGTGCGAGAGAAACTTGTATCAATCACAAAGACTCTCATCAAGCACCTTCTTCCACCGTTCTTTTCAGATCATGCAATAAAATTATATTTACAATCCTATGGCAACCAAGACATCTCAATCTCTTGCAAGAATACCCGAAAATCCGGCATGCAAAGTGACCCGTCCAAATTCGGAACAGCCTTCAGTCCAATCCGTGTCCTACTCCATTCAGGTCCACCTCCGTGACCCCTCACCCCTCACACAAAAAACCACCATCCACACTCCAACATACATACAACATTGCGACGTCAGAGGGGAACGACGACCACCGCATCCGGATGTCCATCACGTTCGACTGGGCCAAAATCAAACCCGCACATGCGGACTTGCTCAAGGACCTGCTGAACGCCAAGTTGCGCGAGGCCGCGTCCTCCAAGGTGCTGCCCGACCTGCTTGGTCCGATTGTTGTCACGGAAGTTGCGCTGGGCAGCACGCCACCGCGCGTCGATATCGAGGCCCTGTCCGATCCGCTCGCCTTGTTCTCCGATCCCGCGCTGGCCGTTCAGTTTGCGACGGTCGTCGGCGGCAAACGCAAGGCCGAGCCAGCAAAGTCGAGTTCTGACGTGGCGTCCAGTGACTCGTCTTCCGCCACGGGAGACACGCAGCTGCAGCCGCCGCGCTTGGCACCGCCCGCGGGAAAGCGGCCATCGCCGTTCGCCAATCTGGGCGCCAAGGCGGACGCATCATCGCCACCGTCACAGCCGACATTGCCAGCCCCACCGCCGTCCATCACGGTTGCAGATCCAGACGCCGTGCAGCTGCAGTTTGCGCTCGCGTACACTGGCGATGTGACGATTACCGTGGAAACCGACATTCGCGTCAACACGCCCGTCCCAGGGTTTATCAGCCTGCCCATCACGCTTGGCGTAACCGGGTTGAACGTTTCAGGTGTGGAATTGTTTTTTTTTTTTTGGCTTGTCAGGTAGAGGCTTGCAGCAATGGTTGAAGAGTTCCCTTTGCTCACCTGTTCGATTGGTGAATGGGGTTTTGGCAGGTCGAGTCATTGCCGCTCACAACATGCGAGAAAAGACCGTCTGCGTGACCGTTCTGCCGTTGAATTCAAGTACAAGGTATGCAGATTATTCTCGTTGACTCGAGAGCAGTCAAAAAGTGCGACCTTCGTCGACAATGATGGCTGAGTTTTGGTTTGTTTTGTTTTTCTGGTTGAAAACAGTCCTCTGGCCGATCTGCGTTTGAAAACAACACTAGGAGATCCTGACAAGAAGCGTACGTCTTTATTACAAACATGCTACGACTTGTACGGCAATGTTGTCAATGTGCTGACTTGATGATTGCTGTTTCGCGTTCTAGTTCTGAAACATATCGAACAGCTCGAATCCTTCATTGTTCGGCAGCTGCGGCAAGTAATACACGAAAAGGTTGTCTATCCGCGATTTATCAAAGTCCTACTAGACAAGTCAGCCGGGAAGAATAGCGACGCGAGCGACTCAACCAAGGGCCCAACCGCTCAGTGAAAGTTTCCGCACGCCTTCGCTCGTCTCTCTGCGCTGATTTCATCTGTATCATCCATGTATAACTTGTATTATAAACGATTATTGGGAAGAAAACAACCACACCGAGAAAAACAACAACAAAACCAGAACACAAGCCGTCCAGAATCAGACAGCAAAAGCATTGTCCCGCCTTAGAGCATGCCCTCAACGGCGATAAGAGCATCGTAGATTCGCTCGTAGAGAGTAAACACAATGGCAACGTCCAAGCAGACACGGCCAAGGCGAGGAGTAGTGCCCTTGTAGAAACTGCCCCACAAAATCAAGCGACGAGTTCAGGTCAGTCAACCGGCGCTTGAAAAGACATCAGTTTTTGGTATAGCACAGTGCACATGACTTACGCAAAGAAGCCCTCGTTCTTCCAGATTTGCTTGGTGCAATCCCATGCGTTCTTGTATTTGTGTCGGTCGAGGCCCTACAGAGAATCGATTGCAATGTCAGAATCGTGTCAACCCTTCCTCACGGCGCAACCAAACGACACTAGCGTCCTTTTCCGCCTTCTCACCCCCCTCACAAACACAACCATACAAGAACATAGAAGATCTGCTTTTCCTCACCTGCATGCGCGTCTTGACGACATCAATAGGCGTGTTACCAAAGACAGAGGCGGCACCGGCGAGGGCACCACTGCTGAGCGTTTGGAGAACACCAAGCTTCTTTGAATCATCGCCGCCCTTCATCCAGTTGGTAATCTTTCCGTAGACGACAAATCGAATGGCCTGGTTGCTGCCCTGCTTGAGGATGGTGGGGCCGAGACCTTGGTAGATGCCGGCAAAGCCTTCGGTCTTGACGATGGTGCTGACGCCGTGCGCAAAGCCGCGGTACTTTGGCTGAGGTTGGTTTTGGTCGTGGATAAACTTGACCTTGATGGTCTCCATGGGGCACACGGCGAAAATGGCCTCGGTGACACCAGCACCAAGGCCGCAGCCGAGCGTCTGGAGGGTGGTGAGCTTGCCGTCCTTGTCGGCAATCTGGTTTTTGAAAAACTCGAACGAGGCAAAGCGAATGGCCGACTTTGGGATGGAGCCGTACAGCAGCGAGCTCAAGCCGCGGTACAAGCCAAAGAAGCCGCGCTCCTTGATGGTGGAGGTGACGACATGGATCGGGCCCTTGTACTTTGGTTGTGCTGCGCGCTCGTCGAGCTGGAGCTGTGTCTTGACAAACTCGGTCGGGAAGGTGATGAGGATTTCAATGCCGCCAGAGATGCCGCCTGCGCGCCGCGATTGGGAGCAGAGATTCGAGGTTGGAGATCAGAGGTTCAAAGTGAGATGATGAGGTGATGATGAGTGATGATGAGGATGATGATGATGATGGAGTCGTCACAGTCCCATTCACAGTTCACAGTTCGCAAAAAAAGTTCGCCACAGTGTGAGACAGCCTGCGATCGCTCATTCTCTCCATCATCAACACACTCATTACAATCAATCAATTCATTTCATGCACTCACTTTCACTTTGCTTTGATTCAATGAATGATTTGTCAACGCAACGACATAACAGCAAAAAGAAAAAAAAAAAAAAAAAAAAGTCACGGATCTCAGCAAAGTTTCAATCCAAAAAAAAAAAAAAAAAAAAAAAGAAGAAGAAAAAGGAGAAGAAAGTGGGACGACTTTTTTTTTTTTTTTTTTTTGTTGTGCGCTCGCTGTTATAACAAAAACAATTTCATGCGATTGGCGGTTTTTTGTGTGTGTTTTGAGTGCGTTTTTGAGTGTTGATTGAATTTTGTTTGTGGAAAAAGAAAGCAGAGAAAAACGAGAAGAGCGATGAAAGCAAAGAGAACACGGATTGAAAAAAAAAAAAAAAAAAGAAAAAAAAAAAAAAAAAGGGAAGCCAGTCAAACGACGAGATATTGTTGGGGAAGCGAAGCTCAACAAAACTCAATCAAACACAAGAAAGTCACGCAAACGCACAGAAATGAAACAGAAAAAACAAATGGAACGAAAACGCAAAATGCAAAGACAAAGTCAAAAAAACGCAAAGCAAAGCAACAGTTGAAAAAAAAAAAAAAAAAGAAAAAAGAAAGTGTGGCGAGGATTTTTTTTTTTTTTTTTTTTTTTGCGCATCCTGTTGTCCTCTTTTTTTTGCTGATGTGCGTTCGACACTGACTCACTCTCACTCACTCACTCATTCACTCATTCACTCTCACTCTCATTCACTCGCTCACTTGTGCATGTGCGCGTGTACTCGCAGTGGAAGAGAAGAGCGTCGTCGCTCAACAGCGAGCCCTTTCGCCTCACTCCCTCCCCTCCTCAATCCCATCCCTACACTACACTGTTGCACTTCCACCATTTTTGGTTTCACGGGGCTTTCGTTCGTTCGTTGTTGTTGTTGTTGTTGTTACCTGCGAGGATGGCCTTGCCGGGCGTCTTTTTCCGGCCGCTGTCGACAGGCGCAGGGACGACGTAGAACTGCCTGGGCGCAAGGAGATTGAGTGTCGAGCGATCCATTGGCCTGCAAAGATTAAAGATTGAGAAGACTGAGCGTGCTGAAAATTCAGATGCTCAGAGTGTGTGCTAACATCAACATTAACTTCATCATCGTCATACTAGTAGATGATGCATACTGGAGATAGAAAACGAAGATCAGTTCGCACAAAGAAGAAAATACAAAAAAAGAAAAACAACAACAAAATTCAATCAAACGCGTTCAAACTCATTGTCAATGGAACAACAAAAGACAAACATACAATCACTATCAACACGTTACATGGTCGGACGACGCGCAAGAACACGGGGATGAACTGGAAGTCCGCTGTGGGAGGCGGCATTTCGATGTCGCACATCGCCGACAAGCTGCCCAGCCAACCCCTTGCGCTCTGCACGCACTTGCTGCAGGCAGGCATCAAGTGTAAGTTCGACTTGCAGCCGGTTTTGGATAATCGGAATGTCTAGTAAGCAAATTCAATGGGAACAAGTGAATTTCAAACATGTCACCGAAATTCAACAACAACCCCCCTCAATAGCGACTAGGATTGATCTGTAAACGTACATGGCCAGGTGCATCGTTCCCCCAGCCGCAAGTAATGTTGCAAATCTTTCTCGTTCGGATTGCCAAGAACCTTTGCAAGATCCAACAAGCCGAGATCGGGCACAATCGTAATGTCGCCTTCGTAACGCTGGGTCAGCATTGGCTGGAACATTTTCGGGAACAAGCCAAGCTCCACGAGCTGTAACAGAAAAAAAGGGGGGGGAAAAAAAAAGGGGGGGGGGAAGTAAGTAAAAATAAACAAAAATCCAAACCAGGAGTCAACCAAAACACATCAAAAAACGGTTTCCCTCATCCACTGTGCTCTTTCAAAAATCACCCTCACCTGAATCACCCGATGCTTAATCTCCGAAAGTAGAATGGCCTTGCCCCACTCGCGCCAGACAGATGAAGAAAAGCTCTTTTTCGTGCTGCGCATGAAGGGCACGACATGCGGATTGACCTGGGACACGATAAACTGATTCACGTTGAACAGCTCAGACAGGCGAGCCATGGGCAGATCATTCTCGAGCGTACCGTCGCCCCACTTGTGCGAGGACGGGTTCCAGAGGACAATATCGCCGTTCTGGTTCTTGGCCTGCAGGTCGGCGGGGGCGTACAGGAAGGGCGATGCACACGAAGCCGTGGCGGCACTCCAGATACACACATTCGGCGCTGTGAGGTAGTTGAGAAGGCGCGGCATTTCGTGGCGCGTGGTGGAGGCGACGGTGATGTTGATGACTCGGCCAGTTCGGCGGTAGGCTTCTTGGAAGGTCACGTCTCCAATGTTACTTCGGACAAAGTCTTCGAGCTTGGAGGCGTCCATGAGGACACCCTGTGTCAGCAGACGCGTGATTTTTCGTCGCGCCGAACCGTGGCCCAAGCGATCAAACGCTCTAAAGTTGATGGCATTCGGCTCAAAGAATCCAGGCAGCTCTGCATCCGTGTGCGTTCCGAGGAATGCAGCGACAATGGCACCAATGGAGCCTCCCGAAATGATGCGCGGGAGCAGATTGAACTGAAACAGGGTTTTCACAACGCCAAAGTGGATCATGCCGAGCGACGCGCCGCCGGACAGCAAGAGCGCGGATCGCCCGAACGCCTGTCGCGCATCGTGGAAGAAGCGCTCCTTGGTGATGTAGTCGAACGAGGGATGCTGAGCCTCGCAGATGTCCAGCAGTTGCTTGACCATCTCGTCGTTGTACTCTTGGATGAGTTGCTTGGTGCCTACAAAGCTCTGCGTGAACAGCTCGGGGTTGTCAATTCCGCCATAATTCCGCTGGAGCCCTGCGCGCAGCAAGAAGACCATCTGCTGCAAATCACCCGAGAGGCGCGCTGCCCGGAGCTGTCCCAGGCGAATGCGCACAATGTGCACGTCAAACAGCGCCGACGAGTGGTCGCTGATGGTCCACGCGTCGTTCCCTTCGAGCTTGTCGTACTCTGCGGCAATCGCGTGCCACTCTGCAAAGCTCGCAGACTGCTTCATGGCCTCCTGGAACAGCACTCGCGCGCGGTGGTTTGGCGGGCGAATCCACGCGAGGACGCTTCGCAGCGGCGTTCGCACGCCAATGAAGAAGACCCACCGCAGCAGCGCCAGCAGCACCTGCGCCAAGTGGAGCACCAGCTGCACTGCGTCCAGTCGCGCGAGGGTTGCCCGGAAGCCCCGTCGCGGCTCATTCAGTCGGTGGTGGTGATGACGGGGTGGGTGACTGTCCCTGCCTCGCGTCCCGCGGCTGCTGCTGTTGCTGCTAGTAGCGTTGTGTGCGGTTGCTGCTGCTTCGGTGTGGGTCGGTGGCTGCTGAGCATGGCGAGCAGAGGCATCGGAAGCAGCAGCAGCAGCAGCAGCGCGAGGAAGTGAGCTTGGTCCCGCTGCGCCCGCTGCGTCTGCCACTGCTGCTCCTTGTGCTGCTGTTGTTGTTGTTGTTGTTGTTCGTGTTGGGTCTGCAGTGGTGGTGGTGGTGGTGGTGGTGGTGGTGCGGCGGAAGGTGAGTGCGGCTGGCCAGCGCGGCACTTGCTCACTCAGCTGCGTCCACAGCGACGAGAACGAGGACGACGACGCAGCAGCAGCCATTCACTCACTCACTCACACTCAATAGAAACAATGAAATGAATGATAAAGAAGGACTAGAGTTAATACGGGTTTGTCGAATCCACTCAATGCAAGTCCATACAATGCAACGAAGGCTCCTTCTTCATCCTTCAGTGCCATTGAATCATCAAACTCAGAGCCCAAGTTATAAATATCGTATTTCACTCTTCTTTTATTCTTTTGTGTTGTTTATTTCCAGTCTGAGCAGGTTTCTCAGTTTTGTACACACGGCTTATTTCCTCCCCGCATCAATCTCGAAGCCGGCACCTGACTCACTCACTCTCACTCTCACTCACTCACCTCACTCAAGTCTCAGTTCACACCCCTCTGCTGCGCAATCACAATCATGATGGCTGGGTGCTCGGCTGGTCGTTCGCTCGCAGTGATGACGGTTGCCTTTGCGCTCGTTCTGCTCTGCGTTGTGAGCCTCGCGACGGGCTCCACTGCGCGCCCCATCAACAACAACCAGCACAACAACAACAACAACGACAACATGGCCATCAGCACAAACACTGGCAGTGATAGGGGCGTCGCTGCTGCTGCTGGTGCTGCTGCGGGTGCTGCATTGCGCAGATCTCTACAGGCAGCGAACGAAGCCCCCGCCGCAATGCTGCTGCTGCTGCCTGCCAATGCCAATGTCAACGACAACCAGAACAACCAGAACAACCAGAACAAGAACCTGAACACGAATGACAGTGGCGACGAGCAAGCGAGCGCAGTCCGTCGTCGTGCGGCCGAACAGCTCGCTGCTGGTGACGTGTCAGCGAACCTCCGACAGGACGAAGAAGCCCAGGCGCAAGGACTGACGGTGGGTCGCCGCGCCGATGCCGGCGTGGACAACGACCCCAATGGCAATGAGCCCGAGCCCGAGACCGACACCCAGAGCGCGGGTGGTGACGATGACGACCCCTCCAAAGACGACAATACCAACGAAGACACCAAAGACGGCGATACCAATGGCAATGAGCCCGAGACCGACACCGAGACCGACAGGACGAAGACACCAAGAAGACACCAAGGACGGCA